ATGCTACTTTTGCACTTATAATAATGTATATATGAACTATTAAATAGTATAAGAAACATTTAGTGGCATGTAAATTTAATTGTATTGCTAGCAATAAGAATGACATATTCAATTATTTACCTTAAAGTAAAAAAGTGTAGTATTTGTTCTTCACATGTGTACTAAATTGGAGCTTGAAAGGTGAAAAACATAGGTTGGAAGATAAACTAATGACAATTTTACTTATGCACTGAAAAAATAGGGTCTCAAAGTAAGACAAAGCAAGAGGTTTTGACAAGACTAGAATGTAACAAGGAATTGGGAGAAATACCACAATTAGAATATGAGGTTGCTACTAAGCATGGAGTTGCAACATGACTAGAACACAATGAATTAGGAATGGAAGGGCCACGACTATAATAAGAAGTCACCATAGAACAATAGATTGAGATAAGATTAAAATGTAATGAGGGAGCAAGAGAGGCACTATAATTGCAATAGAAGCTTGCTACAAAGCAAGGGTTTGTAATAAAGTAGCACTTCACTAGTAAGTGTGGCTTGATTTATTTTAACACAATTTCAACATTACTCCAAGACAGCAATGACCAAGGAATAAAAGACAAAAAAATAAAAAAAAAAAATCTAGATTGGGTTGGTTGCAACCAACACAATCAACCAATCTAATTTTAAAAACAATATTGAGCCAATCACTAAAGCCATTCACCAAAATCACAAATAAATACAAATAAGCATTATAACAAGACTTCAAACCAAAAACACCTCTACTTCTCCCTAAAATAAACTGACAGGAAAAGCTAGAGAAGAGCACATGTTAGGACAGCCAAAGAGAGCCAAAATAATATTTAATATGTATGCATGTATGTATTATACGTAAACCAAGTCTGCGTACTATTTCCTGCAGGCGAAGTTGCTTATACCTTTTATATCCGAGGGTTCAGGCGTGCATCGGAGGCGGTAGACTTTTAGAGCATGTACAATCAACTACGTCTAGTAGCGTCCCAGGTATTCACTTAGAAGCTCACACTGCGGAGAGATTTTCTTTATGATATTTCTTCCTTTACATTTAGATTGCCTAGGTGTTTAGGCGACGTCATGGTTCAGTTTACATGTACCAGATTTTAGAAGGTGATTACATTGTATCCATGGAAGGTAGTCACTAGGGGCCAACAAGTGAGACCTTGGCTTTGAAAGAGACTCAACAGAGTTTTTATACCGTGTTCTGTAAACTGGTAAATAATTTCTCTCTCCCCACGAGAAGAGAAATCCGAGGTCACAACGTGGGCAAAGCAACAGTCCACCCGCTGGTTTGAAAGCGAAGGACCTTGTCCAGCTCTACCAACATTTCTCCCCGTTCCCTGGTTGCTAATCCCAGATTAGCACCTCGATGCAAGAGTTCTACGTCAGCTTGGTCCTAATCCACTCCGTAATCTTCAGTTTGCATGACGTTGCATACAAAGGAAGATCTTAGGCCCCAGTTCCAAACATAAGACAATTGATAGCCCGCTACCGGCACCTACATTTCGGTGCCTATCAGTGAATGATGTCTGATCCTATGCATCGCGACAACATGTACAAGTCCTCCTAACCATCTTGTACTCCGTGTCCACTTCTATGGATTCCTAATTCTAGCTGTCAAATGATATGGCTTACTTTTCCTGGTGTCTCGCTGCTCAGCCGCTGACATACATGCGAGTGGGTACCGGTAAATTATGATCCTTCCAAAATAAAACGGCTGGGTAAAGCAGCCCACACTTCATAGCTTTTCGCTGCTCATTGTGGGCGGCCTTTTGGGAGAAGCTGGTCCTACCGCCAGTCCCCAAGTCAGTATTTATGAACACCCAGTCACAGCATGTTGGAGCAATTCTCATGACACACTGGCTTCTCATAAACCGCAGCTCGGCGACTCATGAACCGCAGAATGCTAGAGGTATGCCAATTAGTGCAGGACACCAGAGGATATTGTTGCACAGCACCTCATTTTGTTTCTTGACAAGCATCGCTCCTCATGACAGACTCATGACTTTACACTACAGCTCTTGTTGCAATTAACAAGGCGTCTGGGAAGCGACAGCTCTTTGGATGAGGCATTACCAATTCATAATATCCTCAAATGTGTGCACGTGATTTTATGTATACGTTTAAGTCTCGTCAACTTTGCAGAGCTCTAGAAGTGTTAACTTGTGCAGATTTTTTGAGAATAACGATTGTCTCTTTAGTGCTGAAAGTGTTGAAAGTCGATCTAAGTAGTTGCTAATGCTTCTGAAAGGTTCATTGTGCGAGTCTTGTGTCATTAATATTCTGGTAGGCTTGGTTCTTAATCTTTTTAGTGTTGTAAATGGCTGTGCTGGTTGAAATGTTTTACAAAACTAAAATGAGTCATTTATCAATAGTACTTATGACATGCAATTAAACCTTCTGGTCCTTTGATCACCAGCATGCAATTCATATGTAATTAGAGGTTTTAGATGCTATGTAGGAAATAGTATTAATTTTTTAATATGATGGATTTAAAAAAACTATATAATATCATTTTTGTTTATGTTATTAGTTATTCATTATAAACATTATTTTTTTAAAATAATTGTCATCATTAAGTTTGGATCAAGATAGTTGTTTGTTAATTTTTTTATATTGATAAAGTCTTCATCAAAGAGCAGTTGCTTTTCAGACGCCATGATTCTTGCAATCAGATCTGTAATTTAAGTCATTCCATCAAATCAAAAACCCCAGAGACTTCTAAACAAATTTTTGATCTTCACTTTCAAGACCTAGACTTCACAGACCAAAAATCTTTGTAAGTCAAATACCTTCCTCTCAGATTTTGTTTCATGTTTATGTATAAATATACTAATAGCTAATGCATTCAATTTCAAATGAACATTGGTTTTAGTTGTGGTTGCAAGATGTATGCATCAGCATTGCAATTGTTATTCTTTTGAAAATCCATGAAATAAAGCAGTAAAGATGGCAAACTTGCACTACTTGTCAAGATAAACAGTATCTCTCTGTACGTTGCTAAAAAGCAGTACAGAATCGACTCATGCTTTGACTTGTTTCAGAAGACTCGAACAGAAGTAAATATGCAGGGTATGCAGTTAACGAGTGTGACTTCCAGTGTGTCGGAAGTCGGCGTTTTAGCTGCTTGACAGTAGATGCTGTTTTACAGAAAGCTAGTTATCCAGAAAATTAGTTGTAGTTCATAGTGTTTCTTTCTGAACGTGGGTGAAGTACCATCGTTATGAGCTTACGAACGGCTAGGGAGAATCCGCGCAATATATACATGAAAGCGGAGAAATAGTCGATACAGCACATCCTGTGTAAATAATGTGCAAAATTCGATTCGGAGAATCTGAACTTGTTAGAACCGACATCTGTTTCAAATATTCCATATACAATTCTATGCTATTCGAGCAATCGTCCGCTGCTGAGAACAGCCAAAGATGTGGTCTAGACGCTTCTTTTGGATCATCTTCTTCAACGAATCGTGTTCGTGATGAATACAAGGCACTCTTGCAAACTTAGGATTACATCATTCCACCGATGCAGCTGTTCAAGAACAAGAGGGCAGTCCGCAAGTTCGAGTCAGCACGAGCAGAAAAGGGGTTCCTCCGCAGCCCACATTCAACCCATTTGCTGAGCCCTCATCACGTTGGACATAAATTGTCTCCGGTCATCAATCAATCAATCAATCAACTCAAGCCATCTAACTGAAACTTCGAGTGTGATAATGATTCCATGTGTAAGAAGATCACACTAGACCTCCTTTCCTGGAATCTTGTCCTGACCCAATGCAAAATCTCACAATCGATACCATTACATGCTGAGCTTGCTAACCCGAGGCAGGCACTGGTGGGCATCAGTGCCTGTGTACATCCACCCCAAAAAACCTCCATCTCACAGCACGGAATTCGGCGAGGCAATGTGATCCACTCTCATCCAAGCAAACTCGAGTCGACAAGCACGCGCACCCGCAGATCCAAGAACACCGCCAGCAGCAACTGATGGCCTGTTGGGCGAAGCAACCGAGGCCAGGATTGACGCACACGGTTTGCTTCTATCGTAGAAATCCCCGTCACGAGGGTCTCGCACACTGATAGCCTTCGACGAATCGCCACCGCAACCCTAACGGTGACGGATTCGTCGTTGCGTCGCGCAGCTCCACACACTCGGAAAGCGCAGCCGGCTTCCGAAAGGCGATCGATGCTCCTGTCGATGCACTTCACGTCGAAGCTTCGGAGATAGTCGGATGCGGCGTTGGACCTGCTTGTCTTGCGAGTTTTTTTTCTGTGAATACTAGAAGCTTAGCTGAGTTCATTGAGCCGAATGATAATTGAACGGCTCCATTAATTCGCATGTTTGATTTCGGGTTGGTGGATGAGTTTTGGAACAGACCGCGGAGAGATGATGAGTTGATTGATGTGCCTTTTTCGTGGACAACTTTTTGATTGGTTTTGTAAGGGACTTTCCAAGTTGACAACAGGAACATTGACTTTATTTCAACAAATTTCAAGTTACTTTTCAAAGTCCCTCTCATAATATGTATGGAAATTTTTGGTCATGGTCATTACTTCATTGTGATTCAATTTCTTTTTAATGAATTATAAACAGACAAATGAAAAAAAAAAAAAAACCAAACCAAACCAAACCAAACCAAATTGCAATATGTGTTTTTCTAACAAGGATCTGTGTCATATTTTTTTCATTGTCTAAACCTTTCTATTGTTAAGATTCAATTGTACAATGAAGCTAAAGAGAATAACTTCAAGACCTCCATCAAACACAATACAAAACTCTTAAGGTAATATCGTATTGACAGGAAAAAAACAGATGTGGAAATCACAACTACAAGCAAGCAAATGCTAACGGTGAGTTTGTCTGGAGTAGACCCCAAAATCCAGAGGTTGCACAAGAAAATTGGGATTGAATGAGTTCTAACAAAGCTCAAAATTCTCCACAAATTGACTGTAGTAAGCCGTTACATGCATGTATGTATTCGTCCCTGGACTTCAACAGAGTGGTTCCTGTGGCAATGTTTTAGAGAATTGTAGATAATTGACAAATGGCACAAATGGCACAAAATGTACACGGCACGAAATGGTCCAACGCTTGGTATTCTAGAGCTAATATATCTACGTGGTGCTTGAAAGGTGTCTCAAATGCACACTCTACCAGGTGTGGTTGAGTTATGGAACATCTAAACTGCGAGGAATTCGCATCTACCTTTGCGTAGTACAGAAAAAGCAAGATCACAGTGAAGCGATCACTTGCTTTTCTGCCAATACAACTCCTCATTAGCTTGAAAATTCCACACAGTAGAACAATATGGACACATCGGCACATCCAGAGACGAATCGTGTGACACATCTCACATGGCAGAATGGAGGCCCTTGTTAGATGGCAAACCAGCCACGGCATTGCTTTCAATGCCACACTCGTCTTTTCCTCGCAAAATACGGAAGGTGCCATCCTCTCCCCAGTTCGTGTTCCAAGAGTTCACCATGCTCTGCATGGTCAGGAAGATGTTAATCACAGCAAGTAATCAACAGAACTCATACATGCCTAGACCAAGGCTATTGCACTAATGTCAATACATGTAAAAGCCAATGAACTCCACTTACCCAATAGTCCACGCCATCATCTGTGGTTCCCCAACCAACCAGCTTAACAGCATGACCTCCGATGTATCCACCATACAGGTGCTTGTACACCCCAGTTTTGTAGTGTGCGAAGTCCTGCGTAGTCAGAATTCCAGATCGTTACATTTAGTACATGAATCCGAAGCTTCAACACATCCGACTCACAAATCTTTCTTCATTCGGGATGTTTTTTCGGATTACAGAAATACAACTGAACAGCAACTTTAAACCCAAGCCCACTGCTCATATTCAGAAGGACAGTTACCTCAAAAACGTCAAAAGCCACTTCAATAGGGCCATTGGTGAAGAGCTCAGCCATAAGTTCTTCAGGCTCCATGGACACTTCATACGCACTCACGCCCAGATGCTTCGAACTTACCCAAAGTTCATCGTCTACGCATCGCTTAAAACATTTGGGTGTGTCATATGTAGGATAGCAACCTGGATGACCGCAGCCCTTTTGATCAAAGTATGGGTCACACTGCACACACAACCACGTGCAATACAATAAATGCTCTGGTTATAGGCACGTGATCAATGTCCTACGAAAAACCCTATCCAATCGAGTAATCAAAGTTCACAGTTGGAACGCGGTGTGTAGCCAACGTGAAGATGGAAAGCCTTCGGTCCTTGACGCGAACAAGAAATAAGAGTAAACTAAAGACAACGTAAAGCCTAAACTTAAAATGTTGTGTGGATGAGAAAAAGCGGATGTACCTTGCTGGTCACAACTCCGGTACGCTTGAAATATTGCCAAGCCCTGATGGGGTACCCACCCTCACAGCCATCGCCGCACTCAAATCCACAACAAGCTAGGAGATCGTTCTCTGATAGTGACACGCTCTGGAATACAATTATCATGAATTTGAAGTTAGACAGCGACCATGATGTCAAACTAGACAAAGATGCTTCAGACCCACATCAAGAAAGACTCCTCCACCACCCCCACCACCACAGGTCTCCGAAGCACCCCCAACGAGATGATGTAAGATAAGTGGACATGCGCATTATCGTAAAAATAGCGTTCCCAATTGATCACTTACTTCGTTCAAGTGAATGCAGAAGCGATCAGTCAATGACTCCACTGCTCCAAAAGCCCAGCATGATCCGCAATGACCTTGATCTGAAATAAACCATAATTTCATCCACAATATGAGCAGAACCATCCATAGAATAAATATTTCACAACACAAGCACATTATGGGCAACGTTACTCTAAATGTCATTCTTCAACTACTGGCATTTTAGAAATGGCACCAAGAACAATCCTAGGAAGCCTACAGAATAACTCAACAGACCTAAAATGTCTCCAATTGTCGAACAATGACTCCAATGTTTACGAGCGTCGAACTCCGTCGGGAGATCGAGGTTCTTGTGCTTGTGAGTGACCCTCTCGATCGAAGGCTCCACCTCGTTAGCAGGTGTCATCTTAGCACCGCACATCTTCTTCAGGTGCTCGACCTGAACGCAACTTTATTATTAAAATACTGCTTAACAAACTACTTACGAAACAAATTCAAATTTAGAGAGATTCTACGCACATGTCGCAAACAAGATAACGAATAGAGTGAACTTCCGGGAATAAGCACATCCATGATTTTGGAAACATACTGTATGCTTTGCGAATCGATCATTGAGGCCAGCTTTCCATGTTGCTCCCGGATGAGCATTGATTTTGTCGACAAGCGATTGCTGTTCGTCCACAACAGAGAGAAGGGAATACCATATCGGGAAACAAGTAACTGACACTGTTAGCTGCGATACTGACAGTCCAAACAAAGTGAGTGCATAACAACCTACAGAAAAATGCAAGTAGACTGTCACCGAAGGACGGAGAAACTAGACCTCCGTTAATTCTGATTAATTCTTGAAAATATTTGTTACCTGATGAATAAGTCGGTTATTCTCCAGTAGGTCAGGCTCGGGCCTGGCAGCCTGCAATCAAACCAAAAATCCAACAGAAATGAACACCCAAAATCAAGGGGAACCAAAAAGCAACTTACATAACTCTTACACCCAACCGTACAGTCGCAATTTCAAACGCAAATTGCCAACATCACAAACGTAAAACAGGGAAGCGTCTAGAATGTTGCACAAATCCGTGGCAACTCTAAAGACAAGAGGTGAGCATTGGTCGGTGACACATAAACATGCACACAAACGCTCCACATCCACCAATTCACAACCATAACCGATTCTCACTTCCCAAAAAGACGTCACCAACAAGCGGGTTCACAGGAAAATGCAGAAAAGTAAGATCGGCGGTCACCCTCTAGTACTCATCCATGACAGCATGCTATCCTCGACCTGGAAAAAACCCAGTACCCACTTCAGCTTAATCTTCACCTTCCTAAACACGCCATATAGTCGATCACTAAAACACCGTCCAACATTTCATCTCTTCGTCAGGAACGCCAATTCCTACCAAATCTGCCGTCACAACCCCATACATCCACGTCCACTAGTGCATAAACCAGAATCGTGCACAAAACCAAGTCACACTACAATCCCGCACAACCAAACGTCTTGAGCCCTGTCTATCACGTCCCAACGTCATAACAAAATCAGCAAATGCTGGAGAAGAGCTGCAACACGGCACCTGAGATGCCAGAATCAAGCCGCATAGCACCAGAACCGAACCAAGCTTCAACATTCCCCATCTCGCCATAGCTCCAACAGCTCGTTTCCCTTACTCCGTTGCGCGGCGAGTGCATCAAAGTGCCGATGAAGAAATGGCTGCGAGATGGAGCTATATATAGAAGGTGATGTTGCGCAGGCCTGCTGCTTTGCTCCCACCCACGTAGATTCCCTTCGCGCTTTCCTCGCCCCGGTTACGTAAGCAGGGCTCCAAACTATAGCTTGTAATAAAATCTGCTTTGGGTGGTGCATCAATGATGCACGCAGCGGCGGGGCGGATTAGAAAAATTTGTGCTCGCGAATGGCTCTCACGCCATCCCTCGTTTCTATCCCTAGCCTCGGCTATAGATGGCTGCTGTAGGGGCCGACGATGGTGGTGCAATCTACAATACCCGACGGTTTGGCGGTCGTAGATGACCGTGTGGGGAGGGTATCCATATGAGAACCGCAGGCCTGCGCAATTCGACACCGCAAATGTGCCGTCACAATGAATGAGTTTCTGCTCGATCAATACCGGCCGATCGATAAAGAGATGCTACACGATGCTCCATAAACTGACGTTCCGGAAGCCATGGCCAAGTCCAACCCAACAGTGTTAACCGCAGAATTAAAAGATTTCAACACTGGGAGCATCCCCAACGCTACCAAGCAATTCAAGGTTTGAAGCAAGGCAATGCATATCAGACTCTCAGTCTTTTTGTCAACATGCTTGGTATTTTGCACAAACATAGCTCTTAGCTGTGTATGGGATAAACGTAAAGAATGGTTCAGTAGAGACTTGGTAAGCATTCTAGTCCAAAAAGCATCGAGTGAGATGAACATGATCAAGACTCTAGGAGATTACAAGAAAGCAGTAACGAGGAGAACGAAAGGAACGATCGAAGTACTATTGGTCGAGCACAGAGCAAGACTGGAAGATCTGCTCGATGCATTCTAGTCATTCTAGATGTACCGAATTAAAAACAGACGTGCATGTGCCATCCTCTGGATTCTGAGTGGCGTCAACTTTATCAGGTCCCATTTCCTCCAAGAATTGAGTCTGTTGCTTTTGCAACGTAGGAGATTTACTTGGTATTACTCAACAGACTAGAAAGCCTGAGGTGAACAAGGCCAGATCGGAGCTTGTAGGGACATACACAAAGTCGGTCTTACAATGGACCACATTCATATCCTTTAATCCGAAGTCTAATTGATTTTGTTGGTTATTATACTCACGTCTTTCGGTGAATTTTCGACTTCCCTGAATATGCTGACATTCAGATGTCGTGAGGGTTATCGAATCTTCATGTGATTGTTGACTATTCGTAGTATAGCTTTTATGAATGCATCGCGCAGCGTGACACTTGCCAAAGAACTGCAACAATAATCTCCCAATTGGGACCCTCAAAAGTGGGAGCGCTTACATGGACTATACGTACAGACGCAGTAGACGTGATAATAAAATCTCAGCTTAAGATTGTAATCCGTTGGGGGAAAAAAGAACAAAAAGAAAAAGAAACAAAACAAAAGAATGCATCGCAACTCGTATGTGACAAACAAAACTAAAATTCGTCGCTTCACAGCATCTCCTAGTCCGTTCTCGAAATATATGCATGTATTTTCCTCAATTTCTTCACCAGAGTAGTCTCTGATTCGAGCACTAACTGAGTTGCAGCAAATACACTCAATCCTACGAATTCCATGTTTCACGATATTGGACCAGAACAAAATCCTAAACTTGGAAGAAAAATCGTCAAATCGTCTCAATGTGACGAGCTCTCATGTTTCTAGACGTAACTGGCTCGTTTCGGTTCGTTTGATTGCATGATGTGGTAACGAACATAACCCAGTTCCGTAGAATTCAACACCAACGGAGAAGAGAATCTGATAACCACAACGGAGGCATTCCACTCAAGAGCCCGATGACATTCTGCGCAATTCTGCGCTAGAGCATCGAAACCACTTCATTAACGTCTTTGTCAAGGTTACTACACACAAGATATAAAACACGAAGGGATTATGGGATTTGTGACCCGCTGTAAAGGACCTCGAGGAGCATAACGTGATCACATGGGTAAAACACCGTTGCGAGCATCCGTAGCAGCGCCGCGATACCTGATCTGGAACAACACATTTGTGCAATCTTACTTACAGTGGCTGCCCTTAAACCACGACAAGCTTGAGAGGAATTCCTTGCTCTTCCACAGATTTCGCTACATTTAGCACACAAAGGCAACGCAGTGTGTGAGGTTCCCGTTGTCTAGCTTCATCTTACCCTATCTGGTTCTCATGATTCCTACACTCTTGCTCTTCCTCTAGCTCCGCCGCATTGACGCCGATTTTCACCGCCATAGCCTCGCTGATGTTTCCATGCGGCTGCCCGGTGAAGAATATTCGTTTCATTATTCCTGGAACCCTGCCCTTGTCTGTCAGTCCACGTAGTTTCATTCGTTGCTACAAACGTTCTGTCAGAGCCTTTCTGTCGACGAGCATTCATCCATAACTCCCGAGGTCCTGCATTCATTTATAAATTGTGCAGCAAAGTTTCATTCATCCATATACACGCTTCCAGTTTAGTTTCTTGTGAATCTCAAACAGTAAGGTTTTTTGTTTATGATAATACCCATGAAAAACATGTTCATTTAATTTTTGTTTTATTTTATTTTATTTTGAATGACATAAAAAGAGCTTCTGTTTCTTTCATTGCAAACTAACAAACAGGATTATGTTGATGTTTTCCTTTAAAAAACATTTCAAAAATATTTATCTAAAACATTTGTGTAAATGTTACAAATAAAAATTCAAATGTTTTTGAATATTAATTTCGAGGTTAAAAAATCATATGAATTTGAATGATACTCTCATATCTAAACTTAAACTATTATTAAATTTTATAGGTGAGAAAAAAATCAAAAAATAATAATGATTTAATCTAATTAAAATTTTAAAATTTTAGGACTTGAAACATTGAATTTAAAATTGTATATTCTAGGGGTTTAAATATCAGTGATTTATTGTTTACAGAATCTCTGAATTAAATTATATGATAACCAAATCACAAATGTAATTGTATAAATCAAAATTATGGAATAAGATTAATATCACTTGATAGGCTTTATGAATCAAAACTACACAAAACAAATAATAATAAATATACATATATATATAGTAAATTTAGATAATCATTTGAGCTCAATAATAATTATCATAATGTAATTTTAAAACTCCAATTCTATTCACCATGTGCAATATATGTATGCATGTAGATAGTGATCATGTATATGTCCAAGTACATATACATCTATGCATGTCAACCAAGAATAATGTCTATTCATTTTTTTGAAAAAAGTGCTAAAAATATTTTATGAGAACTAATTATATGTAGATTTAAGGAACTACGTATAATTAAGTAATTTATTTTAAATATTATGTCTAATTTAATTTATAGTTCAACATGGTTACACTTTCGTTACTCATAACAAATCGCCTTTAAGACAATCAACATCTTGAAATCTTGAAACTGGATCTTTGTTTACTGTTTGGTGAATCCCTATCAAACAGATTACACAAATTTCAATAAATATCTTTTGGTTGATCAGATAAATTTATTTTTTGTTACAATATATAAGGATTTTTATATATTTATTTATACCAGTAAAGTGCTTTAATAAATCTATAAAATAAACATAAAAAACTTGAAGTAGGTGTGAATGCAAGCACGCAAATCAAGTAAAACTAATTTTATACGCCATTAAACTCATCGCACATGCAAGCAGGATTTTTGGTTCGAAGTCCCGAAAATGATATCAACTTTCAAAGGCCCAAAGCATTCCTTTGCAGATATCTATGATATTTCATATTTTCATAAACCGAAAAGAGACTCTGAAGCTTTGAGACATGTTTGATATCAATTTAAAATGAAATTGAGCTACATCCTTCCGAAAAATTCCACATCTTAAGAAGCTTGGCATGGGGGTTTTAAGTTGATACAACCATGATGCATTCTCATCTCCCCTTTAATTTTTTTTATTACAAAATATCCAAATATATTGATGAAATCACTTTCATTCACACACACACATACATTTTTCATACAGAGAGAAAGAGATATAGATATACATACACATATAAAGTTGCTCTATAGACTTAAAAAGATGTGCAAAAAGGTTTCTTTTTTGTTTGGTCCTTTCTTTATGTGATTGTTGTTGGGGAGCATGATGCTGGTGGCACCACGTGTGAAACGGGTCCCTGGTGTGGGAGGCGAGCCCGGGTGTGAACGGGTCTAAAGTGCGCGGGAATAGGCCAGGCCCCCTACGACCGGGGACGTGAAAGGGTCGACTGGGTGGTGTTTAACAAGTCCACCCGACTTCCTCCAGAAATGTGCTCCGACTTCGATCCTTGATTCGTAAGTTGCGAACCTACAAAGTGGCGAACAGACCGAAGTCTCGCCGCTGACGCCAGCGCGCGGCCGCACCCGGCAGACTCGGCTGGTCGGTCCGCCGATTGAATGCAGACTTGGACCAAGCCTTGCGTCACCGCGTCTGGTGATCTCTCTGAACTTGTCTTCGTTGTGCTCTGAACTGTTTCCATCGAGATATTGGTCTGCACATCATCGCTAAATTTCTGACTCCGTCTCTGATCTTTGCCGTCGCCGGGGTTGCACACATTTCAGCGCTCAGGAACATTGCAGGCGTCTACTCTGCTGGAAGAAAATATAGCGTTTTCGTAGCGTGGAAACTGTTAATTGTTGCGATTGTTGGAAGCGTTTTGGAGACAGAGGTTGTGTACACTTTTCAGTGCTCAGGAACATCGCAGGCGTTTACTCTGCGTGGAGAAAACAGCGTCACTCGTAGCGTGGAAACAGTTCGTTGTTGTGATTGTTGGAAGCATTTTGGAAACAGAGGTTGCGCATTTGTTGGTTTGATGTGAAGGTTGTTTGTGTGAGGGATGTGGAAAGGCAGAGGTTCGGATTTCTGCGAGGGTATTGCTTGCGGGAGCGAGAATTCGGGAGGGGGCTGATGGTGGAAGCGGTGTGCGGGCCAGGAGAGAGAGAGATTGGGGGAGGTATGTTGAAAGCTGCGCTTGGGGGAGCGATGCGGAGCAAAGGATTAGGGAACAAGATTGACGAATCATGGAAACCTCCGCTCGGGGATCTGTTCTGTCAACTGAACGATGAGTCACTGCTCAACATCTTGCGGCGGTTGTCGCCCGCCCCGCATTACGCACTCGTGTGCAAGCGGTGGATGCGGTTGCACGGGAGCTTGAGGCAGTCGATCAAAGTGCAGGACTGGACGTTTTTGGAAAGTGGTAGGATTCGTCAGCGGTTTCCCAATCTCACTGACGTGGATTTGTCGCGAGCTTGTATGGTGACGCCGCCAGCCGGGAAGGGCTCTGCAATTCTGCTCACGCACCAGGGGCTCACTGTCCAGCTCAATTACGATGCCGTGGATTCGCCGTCAATTGAGTGCTGCATCGAGGAACAGCAGCTGTCCCCTGCAAAGCTCGACAAGGGCTTGAAGCTACTTGCGGATACATATCCAGGTTTGCAGAGGCTCTGTGTGGTGGATGTGAGGAGGGGGGATTACTTTGCCCGAACTCGATATTTGTCTCGCACTTTATCGAAACCGAAAAGCGTGAAGAAAGCTCGTCGTGCACATGATTCAGACAAGATGGAGAAAGCAAAATCAGCCAAAGAAGCAAGAGATACTAAAGACGGACTTGGTGAAGCTTTGTCAGATGCTTTTAAGCGTTTAAAAAGTGATGAAGGAACCTTGACTTGGAACATGAATAATCCATTTGAAACCCCCAAGTCGGGGGTCCGACATCTGAAGAGGAACACAGAAGAGACAGGAATCGCGAGTATAGCGAAGAAATGCCCGCTTCTACAGGAGCTTGATTTGTACCAATGCACGGACGAGACTCTAAGAGCTATAGCGGATTGTGATAATTTACAGATAGTGAGATTGATTGGATCTATTACAGGATTTTATCACTGCACATTCACGGATATTGGCCTCACTATCATGAGCCACACTTTCCGACGGCTGGTCTCACTGGAACTTAGTGGCTGTGAAGCAAGTTACGAGGGCATCTCGGCTATCGGCAAGTGTTGTGTGATGTTGGAAGAACTAACCCTCTCAAATAAAGGTTTCTACGAGGGTTGGGTAGCAGCATTGTCTTTTTTGGCTTGTTTGAAAACCTTGCGGCTTGAAGGTTGCAAGCAGATTGATCGGAATCCAGGTCCATATGGTCGTCTGGGCCGATGCTCCACCATTGAGCGCCTCCATCTTGAGCGATGTGATTTACGAGATAGGATTGGATTTGCTGCACTGCTCGCGGTGTGTGCTGTCGTCAAAGAGCTTGAATTTAAAGATTGCTGGGGTTTGGATGACGATACCTTGGCTCTAACTGTTTCTTGCAAGAGGGTTAGACTCTTGAGTCTTGAGGGATGCTCTTTAGTTACGACTGCAGGGGTAGACTCGGTGGTTCAGTCTTTCAAGGATTTAAATAGGTTTCGGGTCACTTTTTGTGATAACATTCGAGACTCCGAACTCAGCCCTGCTCTCTGCGATCGTTTCTTGACTCTGAAGGAATTTTCATGGCGTCCGGACACGAAATCCGTGCTTAATGCCGGCCTTGCTGGCACAGGAGTTGGCAGGAAAGGAGGAAGGTTTTTCAGAAAATCTTGAAATCTTTTCACCTGCACCTCTATGTATTGTTCTGTATCATTACCTTTTGTCTATTTATGTACAAATATTTGTCAACTGGGTGAGAAATCGTCATTTCTCGCCTTGTCTTTACATTCAGGTTGTGTTACAGAGTCTGTTTGAAGTCAATTAAACTGCTGATTTTTGGATCAGTTTCTTTATCAAGCCCTGTTTGCGTATATCGTCATCTTGATCGTCACGATGTTCAGTCCTCGACAAGTCTAGGTCTCGTTATGTTTGAACTCACCAGGTTGTAGAATTGAAGAGTTGCGTGGATATCAATTGGTAACCGTTTTCCAGAGCTGGATGCTGCGTGCAACGTTTTAACTCACGCTCGTAATGTTGTCTATGTGAAGCTCTTAGGAGGTCCCTGTAGCATTATCTTTTGCAGTACCGTAGTGCTTGTTTGGACCATTATGATAGAGATACGGGACTTCACCTGCGAATCTTGGCAATGGACAAGGATGGATGGTGCCAAGTGTGATCGTAACACGTTACCGACATTGGCGGTTGAGGGGTAAACATGAGGCTTGTCATGTTGGTGCTCTTTGATGACCTTGGTTGATGAATAGAACTTCTTACGAACCTGTTGCGCAACAACGTTCACATACGAAAGACGTGCAGTGATATGAATCCAACGGGGAAGGGCTCTGCTTGAGGGAAACTGGTCCCTTCACATTATGTCCAAAGTCTGTGTGCAGCCTGTTCCCGACAATCCTACGAGAAGGCGTCAGCAAAGACTGCTAGGATCCATAGTTGTCGGTCGAAAGCCTTTCACATCGAAGGCTTGAACACAAAATCCTACTGTTTTGGTGATTGCGCTCTCTTTTTTTTTCTTTCTTTCTTGGTATTGGTTGTTGTAGAAATAATTCTTACTTTTCATGTACTGTGCTTTTTAAAACTTCCAATGCATGTTTTTTAATTGATGAGAATTGACAAGGTTAAAGGTTGCACCTTGTTAATGACTCTGTTGGGCTAAAAAATGAGAAACATGATGTATGGTGTGAATTTTAGTACTAGAAACATGAAAAGTCATTGACCTTTGCTCCACTTGTTAATGTAATTGGGTTTTCACCCTTGACCCATTTTATTCATTAAAAAGTATACCAATTTAAGAATTGTTATACATGTTTTAAATCACATATCACTACAATTTTATATGAGCATTGCTAAATAAACAACTCATTGTTTTAGATTCAAAGTTTTATTTCGAAAATAAATTTTATGTCATATTTATTAATCTTACAATAGCATTTAAATTTTTATTATTGCAATAATTATTCATATTATCAATTCATAAATTTTCTTTTCTCTTTTTTATCTGTAGTTGTTGTTCTAAGGTCAAAATCTACCCTATATAATTTTAAATCTCATTAATGCCATAAAAAAATCATCGGATTTATTTTATTTTTATATAACCATGTATATTTATTGATATATAAAAAGGAGTTTTACATCTCCTAAGTTTTTTTTAATTTTTTTAATTTTTTTAATGGTTTCATCATTTAATACAGCCTAATTAAATATTCTTTCTATCATTCCATTCATCTACACCTACAGTTTTTAAAGAACTGATTTTGAGCATTCAAAAACTAAATATTGTATAATGTTCATTCTTATCCTCATATCCACAAAGTAAGTGTTTTAATTTCTGTGAACAGAATGATTTTTAGAAGTACAATAAAGATTATTTAATACGAACACTATGACAACTTATGAATAATTGTGGATGTTATATTCAACTACTTTTATCTATATTTTGTTGGTATTTTAGTTGTTTTTAAATAATAATAAAAAAACATTCGAGACTATAAATCTTACAAGGTTATTCATAATAGCTCTTAAATTTTTAACTAAAAAAATAAGAAATTTATCTAATAAATTATTTTTTCATTTCAAGAATAAACAGCTGCTTCAATAAAATAAAATAAAGTAAAAAACACTTCAAATTAATTTTTTGAATAATAATTTACAATTGAAATTATGCATATCATTAAATAAGCCTTCAAAAAATTCTCTATATATATGTACACACACACACACATGTATACATGTATGTTTATAACTAAATAATTGTGTTTAATATTTATTATATATTGTTTTTCATATTTTAAAATGACAGATTCTCTTTGAATTTAAATAAATAAATAAATAATGATTATAATATAGGAGAAATGATAATATTTAAAAATAATTTAAAAAATAAAATGTACAAGTAATTATTTAACAAAGACTCCATTAGAACAAACTGCAACGTTTTAAAGTGGATGGAAGTTTGAAAAGACGGTAACCACGAAGCAACATAGCATCCGGCATTCGTAAGGCGGCGTCCGGAGGACGGCGTGATAACGACGCGGACGACCCAGGGCCTTCACCGCTCGCGGCCTCGCGCCGTGGAGGCTACTCGCGCTCGCAATGACGAGGCCTTGCATCTCACGGACCCAGCAATTCCCCTCACCTGCTGTTTATTTGCACTCGCACTCAATTCTTCTCTCCATAAATAACCCCGCGGTGGCGCGAGACGTCGGTTTTGATAGCATATTCGGTCAGTTCAAACTCTCGGTGCAGGAGAATGAGTTGCACTGCGAGAGGTTGAACTTGGAGATGATGCAGGAGGAGGTGATGCAGGAGTGAGATTAAAGTGAGGAGTTGATGGATGCGCGAAGAGGTTGTGCTTAGAAGCGCTGGAGATCATGAGGATCGCTTATAGCTTCGTGTGGACCTGGCTGCTGCTGTTGTTCTTGTTAAAGTCTTTTGAAGGAATTGTTGTCGCCAGTGCAATTGACACACCCAGTATCAACCCTTTTCAAGGTACATTGGCGAGAGGAAGTTGAGAGATTCTGTTTCATTTTATCGAATTGTCACTGTGGTTTGGAGATCTTGGTTTGTGTTGAGAGAGAGAGCGAGAGCGGTTGTCAGAATTCGTGTTCGAGAGAATTTTGATTTTTGCTGGGGCTTGAATTTGGTGGGAAGGTTTTTATGGATTTGAGCGTACTGATCAGAGCATAGTTCTTTGTAGCCGATCTTGAATCTTGCCTGGGTTTTTTGAATTTTGTAGTGGCGAAAAGGGTTTAGGGGCGATGGTGGGGCTCACGGGAAGCTTAATTTGGAATGTAGTTTGGGATTTTCGTCTTTGAATGGATCGGTTAATTGGTCTTCATGGTAGGACTCACATGGTTTTCAGGAGGACAAAAATAGGCTGTTAATTACAATTGTTGGTGTGTTGTATGGCAGATGTCTCGGTGGGTCAGTCTCTCACGCTACGTCCCTTGGTCGACGGCGTTTTTGTGGAAACATCACCAGGAGTGAAACCAGGGGGTCTTGTGGCGTGCATGCGAGTTCGAATTCAAGGCATTCCTCGGTTTTCAAATGTTAAAAAAATTTCCGTCATTACTCGAGTCAAGGTGCAATATGCAACTGATTCTTTGTACTGGCCTGCCGTTCCCAAGGTCGAGGTCTGCTTGCATCGGTGAGTAAAATGCTTGTTCTACGCTAAAGTTTAGCCTAATAGTTATGGAATTATGATTTGGTGGAAAAAACTCTATAATTTTAGACTCTTGCGTCAGCGTGTGACGGTATGATTGCTCTTGTATCCAAAACGGATTACATCTTTATCAAGGACATCATACTCATTCAATGCGGCATTCTTCTGGTGAGGTTTACGTAATATCGCAGGAGAGATTGTGCTTTACCACTGTGATTCTTTTTCTCGCTGCTGTTTTTGTTCAGTCTCACAGCGTGCGACCAGTAACTCTTGCTACAGCTGCAAAATATACATATGATCCATTTTTTACAGGAATGGTTCAATGGAAGTGGCGCAGTGCTCCCAGAAGAGTTGGCGATCTCTTGAGAATGGATTTTGGTCTGGGCCTACGTCTCCTTTTCTGACCAACTATGTTGATATTCGAACGAGTGAATCATTTTCGGACGTTGCTATCAGTATATCCGCTGAAGAAGGTGCAGTTGATTGATATTTCCCTCATGCCCCTGTATTCTTGACTATTTATGCTCGATTTTGTAGCCGCGTCTTGTCTCTCTTTATGACCAAGTATTTTTCAAGAATAAGTATCTTTTAAACTGTGTATTAGTGTCATTGGAATTATTCGTCGCCATCAGTACTATCTAATATTTTATTTCCTACGATAGATTTCCAAGGCCAGTCTGGTGGATTTCGCTTAATTTTCAGGAAGTTGATCGGAGAGTGGTGCTTTAGCATTTCGTTACGACTAACTGTCATTTTATGTGTGCAGAGAGCCAGGGTTTCCGAATTGCTTTTCTTCTTTTGGGGATGCTGTTCCTGTTTATAGCTCCCGTAGTGAGTGATTGGGTGCCGTTTTACTACAGTAGTGCCATGACCTTGGGGGTGTTCTTAGTGATAATCATACTGTTGTATCAGGTACAGTGCTGAAAACCGGTGTGCCCTTTCTTACTTATTGACTCTCCCGTATTGTGTAATATAGGACCCTACCTTGAGGTGAACTGGTTTTTTAAGCTTCAGCAGATTGGCGAGTTTTGCAAATTTTTTGATGATTCTGCCAAGGCGAGTTGATGATAATAATGAATGTTAATTGGATTTTGAATTTTTCCGTGCTTATCTGATACTCAGTGGCTTACTTTGACGTATTTGTTGTTCAGATCTTGTTGTGTATTTATCTCTGTTTTGGAACGATTGCTAGTTAACATGAGATTTAATGTGTGGTTTTTTCAGGGGATGAAGCTGCTACCAACTGGACGAAAAAGCTCACTCTGGCTTCTAGTTTATAGTACTTTGGTATTCTTCTGTACATTAATCTGTTGTTTTAGCTATATTTTTTACATTATTACATGTGGTATAGTACAATGATCTTTTGGAACAATGGACTAAAGAATCTGTTGCTTGCATTTCTCAGCTAGGGTTGGGTTCTGCAGTCGTACATTATTTTGGTGGACTCGTTAGTACTTTTCTGAAGGATCTTGGACTTGGTGATGATATGTTCAACCCTGTAAGTCCTACAACCTCTTATTACGTGTCTGAAACGCGTCTCAAGTTTTTCTCCGTCGTATAGATCTCTTTGCCCAGGTGCTGACATTTGGAAATGTGCTGTCCCCCATCCTGTATGGATTTCTGGATATTCCATCACACGCAATTCATTTCGGTTAGTTGTATTGAAATATAACATGGGAAGTTCGATAACGACTAATAGTAGGAGAAACCTGGATTTCTGTTTATGAATAGCTATTTGCTGCCGATTTCATCATCAAACTTCATGTTGTTTTCTGCGTTATGATTTATCTGATTTATGCTTTGTGTTTTTTCTGGCGGGCAGGTGGCGGTGTTCTTAGGGCTTGGTGTTCTCCTGATTGGTGCCTGGCTTGGGTTTTGGGGAGTACGGAAGTTTGTCCTTGCAGAGGATGGAAGTGTTGATTTTGGTGTAGCCAATTTTGTGAAATGGGCAATTCGCCTAATCGGTTGTACAATGCTTCTCCAGGTATTAATTTACTCAGTTCACTGAAAGGAGTACAGTTATTAATCCAGCTAATATGATATCCTTCTGTAGTAATTATCATAATCTTTTCATGTAGATATTAAGTGGAACAAATCATTCCACTGCACAGATATACATGTTTCATGCATCATCCCCCCCCAATAAATACCCCAATAAACATCAATTTATTGTTTCATATTAATATTAGGCATTGGCTGTCACCATTGCACGCCCATGGTCATCTTGTGCGATGTCGTGTGGTCCGTGATTTATTTCGCTGACACATATTGTTGTATATGGCAGGCTTCCTATGACGTCACCTTTTCGGTTTTGGCACTTGCACTTGGATCAGCAGTTGTGTGGCTTATGGGGAAGCTCGACCTACAGAACTTCGAAGTTTCGGAGTCTATTAAACATCAGTGGATGGAGTGAGTACGATGTCTCTGCACTTTCTTCATACCTTGGTTCATTATTGAAGGATTCAGTATTGACTAATCTGCCGTTGCATAGGTACTGGAATTCAAGAGGAGTTCTTGCCTGGATAGAAGAAATACTACACGAATTCCGGTTCAAGTAAGTTTCTTACACCATTTCTTACCAATGTCAGCTGAAGTGCATATATCATGTGATTAACTTCAGCATTAGTTGAGCTTTTTCATGAGCAATATCTACTGTTGTTAGACTATGCTGGCATGGTGGTGGCCACTGCGCTGATGTTCCAGCTAAAAGCTACAGGAGTGTTAACCAAACACCCTTGGTTTCTTCAGCAGAACAATTTTAAGATGTGGGCGATTTTTCAGCAATCTAGTAGATTCTTCAGCAATCTAGTAGATTCTTTGGTTGTGAAGCACCAGACTTCATTTAACAAAAGAATCTGGGTCTAATTCCTTCCTGATGAAAGAGGTGAAGCGGTTTGAAATTTCTAACGTGTTGGGAAGTTTTTGTAACTAATTTCTTGTGTTTGGAGGATAGGTCACTTCGGAACGCCTCCCGGCCCTCTTTGACGCGAGGTGCCATCAAGAAGCCATTCACTAGAACTCAGGCAAATTCTCTGCAGAATCTCCCTGGTAAGGAGGCTCTGACTAGGTGGGAGCAAGTCAATGCATTGTCAAGAAGACACTTAAAAGGTAATACGCATGTAACTATATCTGGAATGACACAGTATTGTCCATAATTTTCATCGCCAAACGTTTAAGATTAGAATAATGCAGTAGAGAACGATTTTACTTCTTGTGCTGTAGTTTTGCGTTCGGAACATTTTATTCTGTTTTTATATCACAATTGTTAGTATTCTTTTGTCAAGATTGTTTCACTGATGAATGCAGCACCTGCAGCAGATCTGGCATCTCCATCTCCACCTCGTCGGAAAGAATTTCCATCCACGTTTCACAAGACCCCAGATCGTACCCCATTGAGCAGCACCGAGTACAAAGCTACGGACATCACTGAAGAGGCAGTTGGTGAACTGGTCAGATCCAAAGATTTCCAACTGTGGTGGGCTACGAATGTTGTCAGCAATGACCGTGTTTCCATTGCTCCCAATGAACACAGGGAGGAGAGACCAGAACACGAGGTTGAGGCTACAGCATATTTGCCCCAAGATAAAATTCTCTTGAGCAGGAATCCTGATTATTTAAGAAGGTATCAAGGCCCCACTTAATTAATTTTTTTGTACATAGTATTATACTGGAGTCATTCCTAGCCCCACGGAAGAGTGGTGATGCAGTGACCTGTAGCTTTTTGTTCATTTTTGCTCAGACGATACAGTTTCATTTCTGGCTTCCTTTTTGATAAGCTAGGAGTTTTTACAATATTTTCAGTTTATAGCATGGATCAGTCTCAAGGTTCCTTCACACACCTTTTCCAGTTTATGATTCAGGTTAGGATTTGTCATTTTTGTAATTGCTACATCAATCAATCTAAGCATTGACAGTTTTAGAATTTATAGATAAACCACTTGATAAAGGTTTAAAAAATTTGGTGGTTGGATTGAAGAAAGGTTAGAAAATTGATGGAGACATTAAAATCAGGTTGGAATTTATTCTTTCGCAAATTAATTTTATTGGAAAATGATATCATGGTTCTGAGTTCTTGATTTTGCTAGAGTTGTATGATTATGGTCAAAAGATATATGCAATATTAATTGTGTAAAATCAATATAAAAGTGTTGACAAAAGTTTGCAGCATATTAATCTAGGGCTTTAAAGTAATTCTAACAATGTAAATGGATTATAAATATCAAAGCTACCTATTTATATAATTTTTTACAATTTAATTTTATTTATTTTATTTGATTTTATTTTTTGACTTGGTGCATACTCATTGGTCAAAATTGTCACTCCTTTAGCTCATTTGAAATAATTTATATGTATATATATAAATTATTTTTTGATATCCACATAAAGGATATTGTAACTTGGACCTTTTAACACCAAAGATTTAAGGTGCACTCCTACTAATAAAAAAAATTAATTAAAATAGAAAAAATATTCTAATTATATTCTAATATTCTATGTTTCAAAAGAACATTTTGTGACCTAATGGCTTACATACCAACCAAAGCAATATAATATTTTTTTTAATCTAAGTGAAGATTAATAAAGTGTTTTTTAGTTCTTTTATTATACAAGGACCCAAATAAGTAAAAAAAAATTTATCTTTACAATTTGTTTGTTAAAACAATTTTGAACATTTTTTTTCATCACGTGTTAGAATATTTTTAAAACTTTTATGGAAAAAAAATAAATTTCTATAATAATAATATTTTTTATTTTTTATTTTTTTAAAAAAAATCTTTTGCAAGTTGAACCTTGTAGGGTGAATAATAGTATGTCCATTACTATTTTTCTAATAGAATATAAAACGATAAGTACATAGGATTCAATCATAGTACATAGTACAGATTACTTTTTAAAAAAAGAGATCAGGCCCGTTTTAAAAATTGATCTATACTCTAAACCGCATTATTCAAATACATCGTTTTATTTATTTTATTTTATTTTACTTGACCAATGTATATATCAAACACACCTTCAAATTTTCAAATTTTTTTTAAAAAATAAAATATGATAATTTTCTAAAACCTAAATAAATTTTTAAATTTTTTTAAAAATATAAGTTTGAGAGACATACAAAAAAAAAAAAAAAAAAAAAAAAAAAAAAAACTCAAGTGCAACCTAAGGTGGACTCTTTTACGCTTTGATATGAGCCTTGGACGACTTCATGTAGTTTTCAACGTAGCGTTCCGTTTTCGTCCACTTATCGTCTCGAGGAAATGTTTTCGTCGAATTGGGCGACGAAGAAACGGGGGCCCTCCTCTGCAAAACAAGGGGGAGGTACTCTCCGCTTTACGGAGCCTCGTCTCCCAGCGCATCGCATTGCTCGCTCGTTAATCTTTGCTTGCTGGAGTGGGATTACAAAGAGCTCTTTGTAATCAGACTTGGAAAGCAGTAGAGCCGCTGTTTGTTGGCTGGTTTCCAATCTGTTTTTGCGGAGTTATGAAGTGTCAATTGCACTGAAAGTAGTTTCATAGCTCTTCGGTTGTAAGCCCTAAGCGTCGGTGGAGGGTGGTGGTGAAGCAGGATTTAGGGATGGAGGAGAGAGTGGCAACGCAGGATCCCAAGCTAGTGCTGGCGCACAAGCTATTTCTTCTGCGCTCGTCGGATGTTGAGGACATTGAGAAGGCGTCGTTGAAGGATGAGGTCATGACGATCATCAAGTCCGACAACATGGCGGGTTTGTACCAGTCTTGCTCTCAGGAGCTTGGCTGGGAGCTCGATCAGACGCTGCTGGATTCGATTAACAGTAGCAACGCCAACGAGCTGAAGACTCTCGATGATAAGATTGCGGATGCGGAAGAAAATCTCGGCGAGAGCGAGGTGCGGGAGGCGCTCTTGGCGAAGGCGCTTTTCTACATCCGCATTGGCGATAAGGAGAATTCGTTGGAGCAGTTGAAGGTGACGGAAGCGAAGACGGTGGCTGTGGGGCAGAAGATGGACCTCGTGTTTCATACCCTTCGCCTTGGTTTCTTTCACCTTGACTTTAACCTAATTTCACGCAACATCGATAAGGCGAAGAGTTTATTTGCTGATGGCGGTGATTGGGAGCGGAAGAATAGATTGAAGGTTTACGAGGGGCTGTATTGCTTGGCAACACGGAACTTCAAGCAAGCAGCTACTCTGTTCTTAGACTCAATTTCGACCTTCACTACTTACGAGCTTTTCTCTTATGACATCTTCATCTTCTACTCTGTCCTGACCAGCATCATCTCGCTAGACCGTGTTGCATTGCGGCAGAAAGTGGTGGATGCTCCAGAGATACTTTCTATCATAGGGAAGATTAACCATCTTTCGGACTTTCTGAATGCCCTCTACGAATGTCGTTATCAGACCATGTTTGTGGCATTTGCGGGACTGACTGAGCAAATCAGACTTGACCGCTACTTGCTACCGCATTTTAGGTTCTACATGCGTGAAGTTCGATCTGTAGCTTACACACAGTTTCTTGAATCCTACAAGAGCGTCACCATGGAGGCCATGGCGAAGGCTTTTGGTGTGAGCGTGAATTTTCTGGACTTGGAACTATCAAGGTTTATTGCTGCCGGGAGTTTGAACTGCAAGATTGACAAAGTGGCTGGCGTCCTTGAAACCAATCGACCCGATGCGAAGAACGCTCTGTATCAGTCTACAATCAAGCAGGGAGATCTCTTGCTGAATCGCATACAGAAGTTGTCCAGAGTCATTGACTTGTAAATCATTGAAAGATATGACAGGCAACCACCTTTCTTCCGTGAGATAAGCATAGGTGAGGGACTAGAGGCTAGTAGGAATCATTCAGTCATCATTACGCAATGCTTCAATTTTGATGCTTCTCCTCAAGATTGTAGGTATTCATATTCCATGGTTATCGTCCAGTTATTCAAAATTGCATTAAACTGGAGCTGGTTGTATCCGGTTTGGATGCCCATAGCCCTGCTTGGATTGTGGAATGGGGTTCGGTGTTATTTATCTCAGTTTGTAAGACGTGAGCCAGCCAATGATGTGCGTGAAAGCTTGAAATTTTTCGTATTCATATGCACCAGAAATTTGTGAATAATTTGTCAAAGTTTCGCCGCTTTTTTGGGTACTCTTCTCTTTTATCTTGCTTGGTGTATGTATAAAATATACAGATTGGTAAATTCTCTGATGTTGTTGCTTTGTCTATTTAAAGCAAAGAATCTGTATTGAAGCTGTAGGAGGCTTGCATTGCATAAGTGCGCATAAATCATGGATAGATGTTAGGCTTCTGTTACCGATAGTAGCAGTGATTGTATGGAGATGTTTACGATTGGTCGGGTTTGTACCCACCTCGCGTTAGCCCCAAGAGTATCTGCTTGCTTCCAAAAGCAATGTCATGGACTCTGTTTTTGGATCAATCTTCCGTTCACTTCTTAGGCGCTGCCAGGATAGATGCGTCGAATTCTAGTCTGGGAAGAGGAGAGAGATTGATTAGCTTGAAAGCCTTCGGAAATTTTTCTAGATTGTGGTGCTTTTAGTCTTTCACTACCATTAGAATAACAATTAGGCCTCGAAACTGTTTCTTGGAGCGATTGGAGTATGGTAATCCTGACCCTGTACTTAAGCAGTGCGAATGGAGGTAACGTAGTGGTGATAGCCTGCAGAACTATTGTAGAAGTTTGTGTTAATGAAGATGCAAGGAAGTTAGCTTTTCTGCTTTGTTGTGGAAATTCTGTTATGTATTTCCTGCTGTTGTGGACGATGTTCATACAGATCAGTGTAGGTCTTTCTTTCCCAGCTTTCAAATTTGTCATGAGCAGCTTGAATTTTCCCCCTCTAACTTTGAAACTCCTCGTATAATTTTTCAGTGTGAATTGTAACTCGAGAACTTTTGAATTGACAGATTTGTTGGTGGTCTTGTTGAATGTACGTGACTTAAATTTTTCCAGTTTGAAATATTTCGAAGCTGGTAGTGATGGTCTGAGTGAGTACGTAGATGAGACAGGACAGGAAATAGCTGAGACTTCTTTTCATGAAAAAGAGACTGCCATGTGGTGCTTTAAGTCTTTCACTACCATGATGAATTAAATTATATCAAATGGAATAAACCACATAATGTCAGGCTAGGTGATACCCTAGAACATCAACTGAGACTGGTATAGGATGATCATGTCTTGTATCAGGATCAATTGTAAGGCAATGAACCCTCTATAAGTGATAGCATGAACTGATATATTGCAGATATCTGTTAGGCATGAACACGTGTCCATGGTGTCTGGTATGATACTTATTGGTAAATGTTTATCAATATATTGTGAAACAGCATTAATTTTGTTCCAGTATGATGGAAATTGGTTTTCTCAAGAAGATTCCATAGATTCCAAGTGAAAAGCCAAAGAATCATGTTAGTTTTTTGTGAATTTTAGATATATTCAGATGTGTTGGAAATATATCATGTCTGGAATATCAAACTTCAACCCATAACTATTGATGTACATACTAGGTAGGTGGTATTGCTTCAGTAGTTTAACTTTTAAATAATTGTGATAACTTTCTTTCTTCTGATGTGGTGGTTAGGTTCATGCATGGACTTCTCTTGATGATTTTGACATGCATTCTTTTTCTTTCTTTTAAAAGTTGAAACTGTCTAGGAATTTTTCTCTGTTTATTTATTTAAAAAATAAATAAAAGGATGTGAGGATTTGGTTTCTAAATAACTGACACATTGTGTCAATCATTTTTCTGAATTTAATTATGGATTTGTTTTGAAAGTCTGGCCAATGAATTTTAAAATCTCCAAATACAACATGCTTTTTGCAGCATTGGGACTTGTACAAACTCTCCTTCAGTTGTCCTATCCACTCACTGCATAAGCACATGGTTTTCTTTTGTGTTGTACATATCATTCCTGAACCCCAAAAAAACATACTTCTTACAAAATTCACATCAACATCTTTGAAGAGCATACACACCTTGCATGTGATCAAAACATTTGAATCTGCATTATTATTTCATTCACACCATTCACATCATCACATCATCCACAAGGTTTTGCATATTATGCAGTGATTATGGAAATGGACAAACACAAACTCAGAACAACCACAAATTCCTTCACAAAGACACACACACTTATATATATATATATATATATATATTCAATCAACTCTCCGAATTCCTGTAAAAAAAGATTAACCTCCAAAAAAGGAGAAGGTTTGAACACACACACATGTGCACTCATTCAAGCATGCAAGGCTGGATCCATGGCTCACCCAAGTACAAAGCTATGCCACAATCCACAGCCTTGAAGTACAAAAAGGCTGAGAATGGTGATCTGCTTCCACAAATTGTTTGTCATGCACAGGGCAAGAGCCAGCAGCAGCAATAACAAAAGGCATGCAAGGCTTTCCAGAACAGTTTTTAAGTTAGGGAGGGAGGGAAGGAAGGCAAGGAAGGCAAAGAAGGCCTGGGGGTTGTGCTGTGCCAGGGCTACTGGAAGGCTCAACCCCCACCTCCCTTTCATTTTTCCATTCTCACTCACTTCAACAGACACTGAATCCAAGGCAAAATGGCCCTGCCTCACTGCCAGTGCCTCTCTCTGCTCTGCCCTGTCTGTCTGGACTGCTGCTCCCCTGCTTCTGCTTCTGCCTGCCATGGAATGCCATGGTGGAGAGAGGCTTGGCCCTTTTGGTTCACACTCAGTGGTGTGGGAGTCAGGACAGAGGGCAAGAGAGAGCATGGATGAGCAGATTCACAAATCTTCTTGTGGTACTTACTGCCCACCTGATTGCTTGCTTGTTTCATCTCTCTCTCTCTCTCTCTCTCTCTCTATATATATATATATATATATGTGTATCCTCTACTGATTGCAGCATGCTCATGAACCATGCCTTCTCTCTCTGTCTCTGATTCTTCTTTGCTATTGTACCACCACTACTACCACCAGGTGCTGGAATATATGGGATCTGCCCAGATCAAGCTTCCCGTGCTTGAATCCTCCATCTCTTGATTGGGGGCAAGCAAAGAGGAGATACAATCCATCCATCAATCAAGTGGCTGTGGCTGGCTTTGACAGGTGGGCTCACTCCAGGATTGCTTGCTTGCTCAGATCAGGCCACACAAGTGTCTCCAAATCAAGCTTCACCAGGCTGTATCAATGCCACTGCTTTATGACCACCTTGGCTTGGCTTGTGAGAGTGAGCTTCAAGGCTTGGGTTCCATGGGGTATAATCATGATGTTGTGGGGGGAGGGAGGGAGGAAGGTTTTTCACTAACCTTCGAAGCACTACTCAAGTGAAGAGGTCAGTAGGGGAAGGGTGATGGATGACCGTTACAGACAGAACAAGGGCCTACCTACCTTAAGAGCAAATAATAAGTTTGAAAGGCTTTGATTACTGTACCCAGCAAAAGACCCCAACTTTCCAGCTTGCTATCAACACAAAAATGTACTTCCATTGGTGGAAGTATATTATGCATTTCACGAACCCCCCAAAAAACCCTTAAGGTAAAGGTGTAAGCAACACTGTCAAAATGTAGATTTATCTGTACTATTCAAGTTTTTTTCATCCATCACTCTCCTACAAAAAACATAGAAAAATGAAAATTACACAACAATTATATATATATATATATATAGTATGAATGTTTATGCTTAAAACCCCACCTTCTAGATACTTGTACCATACTCCTACAACAATTATTTGGGGGCCTGTGTAATCTGCACTGAATGGTGAAGTACCCATTGGAGTGATTTTTACAGTATTACTTACTCAGAGTGGTGTTGATCAAAACCTCTATTATTCTTTCTACATGGCTTCTGTTCAAAGATATGGATCTTCATGGTTACTGTATCAGAGAAGTTGCTTTGTCTTAAGCCATGTTCTTTCAACTCCAGTCTGCTGGAGTTGAAAAGCTAGCCAGCCAGCCAGCCAGCCACAGGAACAAAGGATTCATTACAAAGGAATTTTTGTGGGCAGGCTTTATCTGTTGGCTTAAGCAAATGAGATGTGATTTGCACATGCTAGTGGAGGCACCCCACATGCCTCCATGCTTCTTCCCCTGACTGACACTCGGTTACTTGTGGACTTGGATTGATTGAGAGTATTATGCTTGCCAGCCTGCTTTGCTAATCAAACAGAGCAACTTATTCACAGTGCCCAACAACCAGATTCTAGTTTTACAGTTTGATCCCTGTAGTCCTCTATATTTATATATATATATATATATACACACACAGAAAAGTGGAAACATGTGCCATGGAAAATACAGACATTGTAGATCTTTTGAGAAAAGTGTATTTGCAAAAATAATGGATCTAAATCTCTAAGAATGAATTAGTCAGTCCTTTTTTAAACTTGAATGAACATTGATTGATTTTGTACATCAGTTCTTAAATTAGCTTTTGCAGTTTATCAGAACCTAAAACATGGTCCAGTTCTCAGCTAATCTCCCAACTAATGAGTTTAGTTGGCAGAGTTAATGCCCTTTCAATACTAGTGAGTGGGTAGCTTGCAATGACACAAAACAGCATGCTGGTCATTTTTTGTAGGCACAAGAGATGTGTAAGTGATCACATAGTTGTAAGTTTTAGGTACTGTGCATTTTAAGCAACATTCTTCATGAAGATGGGCCTAAGAAATTTTGTATTAAAAAAAGAAAAATCTATTTTTGTATTAAAAAATAATATGACATAACATAGTTAGGCAATTCTGATGCACAGGTGTTGTTAAAAAATTTAAAATGCAAAATAAATTTTTTTTAACAATTGTGTACATGAACAGAACTTTTCTTCACACATTATTGTACATTGGCATTGTACATCACTGTGCTCATAAGCAGGCACACATAACTTGTAAATTTCCCCAAACAGTTTTACATTTGATTTATTTATTTATTTATTTTGTCTTTCTTCTTTTTGTTGAATTGAAAGGAAATGAATAAAAATAGTTGAAAATTATGTATATCTGTGTATGAAAATATGTATGAAAGTAGTTGAAAAATATGTGGTTGAAAAATACATTGTGGTGCTTCCAAGATCTGTGCCTAGTGATCTTGGAGTGCTACTCTTTGCAATCTACAGCAATAGCAAACAGATTTTGATCTCTAATTAATCAAAAGTTGAGTTATTACTTCACTTTTGATGAAAACATTGAGATATGTAGCCAATTAGAGATGGTTTTTTATCTCCTCTAATTTATCCAATTAGTTTATCCCCTAAGATGTTTTATATAAGAAATATATTAGATATATGTATAACATTCGACAAGAGCAAATGGGAAGAAAAGGGCTACTCAACGAAGCACTCATTTCTCATCCACTTCATTCACATCATCCACGAGGATGAAAAACTGCGCCTCGCCTCCAAACACTGACTCTGTACTCACATTAGGGTACAAGAAGCTGCAGGACAGGGGCAGGGCAGAGCAGAGCAGGGGAGGCCAGGCAGTGGCTTGCAAAACACCCCCCGTATCAGGAGGAGATCGCCCACCCCCATGAGGATCCCCCTCCCCTCAACGGAGGTTCTTGCTGACCTGGCACCCTTCCCTTCCTACCTCCCTCCCTCCCTCTCTTCCCGTGGCAGCCCCCTGCGCTCGTCCCCCAACCTGCCAACCTACTCCAAACTGCTACCACTTGTAGTAGGAGAAGTAGAAGATGAAGAAGAAGAAGAAGAAGAAGTAGTGCACATGCCTGCTGCACCCTGTCTGTCCCTGTAGCAGCAGCTCGGACTCCATTATCCTCCTGCTGTGCTGTGCAGTGCAGTAGGGAACCATTTGCAAGCAAACCCCCCCCCCCCTCCCTTTTGCCCTGGAGCCTTCTTACACCCCCCACCCCACTCCCCTCCCCTCCCCACCTTGGCTGCTCTCACTCTCCCCCCAACCCCCCTCTTCCTGGAGAGCAGAACATCACATCCTTCATCCGCACGGAATCCGGCTTCCAAGTACATGGTGGTGCCCGCCTGATCCCATCCATCCATTCCAGCCAGCTCCATCCATCCCCTCCATCTATTCTAGGGAGGAGAGGACCAGTCTTCATAGAATTGGATTTGGATTTGGCAGCGACTGGGGGAGTGGGTCCCCCACTCCCCCCCCCCAATACACACCCAATCCATCACTTCTCGGGTTTGGTCAAAGTAATGGTTTTCTAATTCCCAGCGTCTACTCTACTCTAGTAGAAGTAGTAGTTCATAGGCTTAGCTCAGTCTTCAATACCCGCCCTCTCCCTCTTCATCCATGGGTTCATCCATCCACAAATACATCCATCCATCTGGAGCTCTCTCTCGATTGTAGTTGGTTTACGGTGCACGGCTTCCTTTACAGAAGGACTCCACTGCAATGAAGGTTAAGTTTTGCAACTTTTACTGTTTGATATCTATATAGTTTACACTCAAATTTTAAGCATTGTTTTATGTTTGAAAATTAAACATAAAACGTTGTATTTTTAGTAGTATACTATAAAAATCAAACATGTATATGTATATGTACATGTTTAGAATCACACACACTCACTGATTGTTTTTAGTTGTTAATTACAAATATAGTGAAACTTTTGTTGGCTGGAGTGGATGTTTCTTTTTCATCATTATTTCATCTCGATCTTTTATTTATCTAAATATCCCTTTTAGTGTGAGTTAGTTGATAATTGGATGCAATTTCAAAGAAACTTGTCCATTTTTTAAAACATTTATATTTGCTAAATGATAATGGTATAAATAATGATAATAATAACTCATCAATTCTTTTTAGATGAAGTAAATATAGAATTATGATGAACCATGAGCATTAAGAAAGTTATCAAATAAAATTAATATTACCATTTTATCATTTGTATTAAAACTTAACACTTTTATTAATATGAATAAATAAATAAAACTAGACAACAACAGTTGCCAGTCTATTTAAAAACATATTTGCAAACTCCAAATCAAAACTTTAGTACCAAATATGATATACAAACTAACAGTAAAATAAAAGGAAAAGTTTGGATGTTTTTAGTCAAATAATATGTAAAGAAAACTGGATTTTTTTCAGTAACTGACATGTGACATCTACTTATGGTTTGATTTTATGTAACATACAACATGTGTCCTCAAAAAAATCACTCATTTATTTTTTATTTATTTTCATTCTAAGTTAAGATTTTTTCATTATTTATTTATACCCTTGATAAAATAATCCAGTAACTAATCATAGTGAAAAATATTTTATAAAACATTTCGTAAAATATTTTAATGAAAGCTGCATGTATTTATTGTTACAAGGGTATTCAACATTTAATTTAAAGTATAGAAATAGACACATCCACTTGAGTCTGATGTAAAAGAATGCAAATGCAAACATGAACTTGATGGTCATACCTGCAAATGGTTATTCATTTGTTGGATTTTAACTTTACATGCTGTTTAAACATAAGTTCCAGCATCACTGAATGAATGGGAAATGGACACTTGTGCATCGCAAACCATCCAAACATGTATTCGAATTCTATCCCCCTGTCCCTATTGTTACAATAATTTAATATAATTGCACGAGAGCGTTGGAAATATCAAGAGGAGAGAAAGAGAGAATACAAATGATACTAGTATGCTGTGAACATGTCCAAGGGAACGAAGCAAAGTTCCCATGCAGCAGGGAACGTAGTTCCAATGGTGGGATGGACCCAGTCTGCCAGCTGGAGACAAAGTCGGCGGTGTGAAAAGGATCCCCTCTCCCCTAACCGGGGACTCATACAATGGGGATGGAAGGAAGGAATGTCTGTCTGTCAGTGGGGCCAAGCCCAGCAGCAGCAGCATCAAAGGAGAAAAAGGGAAAGGTGTGCCGTTCTATGGAGGAAAGGCCCGGCATCGGAGAGAGGGAAGGAGGGAGGAGGATGCCAGGGAGGGGTTTGTTCACATTTCTCTCTCATGGAATTTGAAGCTGGCCCGGCAGGGCACAAAGGGGAAGGGAAATGAAAGGGGAGTGGCACTACTTTTGTAGATTCGCTCTGTCTGTCATCAAGGTTGGTGACACGGAGAGAGGGGCTTATGATCTCCCTGCAACTGCCTCTTTCCAGAAGAAGAAGAATAAGAAGCCGAAGAAGTGGCAGAGGCACGGGCATCAGCCAGTAGCCACGGGGGCAGGAGGAGGGGGGTGGCTATTGCAGTAAAAAAGCAACAAGGCAACGATGTGCCGTGCTGCTGCTGCTCCATGCTTTTACCAAGCAAGCTCTTTCGCCTTGCCACGGTGACCCACACGATAACCCCCCACGAATATCATAGTATTCCGCAATGGCATATGGGTTGGGCTCTTCGTTCCCTACCCTACGAGCAGAAGAGCATAATGTATTATTATTATTCTTATTATTCTTATTATTATTGTTGTTGTTGTTGTTGTTATCTTTACCTCTTATTAATTGTACGCATTTTGGATCTATGCAGTACTGTGTTCAAAAGAATTCAGATTTCAATGAATCGTTAGTATCATTATATGTTGAAAAAGTGTGAACGCAATTTTTTGCAAGTCTTATCAAATTCTATTTTTAAACACATAAAAGTAAAGTTTATAATTGAAGAAAGAGATAATGCCCATATATTTATGCGCAGCAGTAGAAATCACGAAACAACGCAAATGCTAAGTTTGGTGCAAACTCTGTGAGAACTTTGAAGAATGGAGTTGGCAATAATTATTCTTTTTCGTGGTGGGTTTGGCCATATCTGAAAATTTAATGCAAAAATTAAATCCTTTACGCAATCGCCGTTACTGTTATTACCCTGAAGAGTCTATATTCGAATTAATAACAACAATAATATTATTGGCATCGCTTTTTCGAGGAAATGCCGTGAGATCAAGCTCCAAGAATCATTTCAGCAAGTTTGGTGCGGCGCACAAGCTCTGTTTTTTGTTTTTATCGGTCGCTGCGGTGATGAAGTTATTATGGTGTGGTGGGGTGTCGCTGCCCTAGCTAAGTCAGGAAGAAAACCAACGCGAGAAGCGGCAACAAACGAACAGTTATCGTCCACATCCACTCAAACGGGCGATGGAAAGGGTAGGGTGATGGGCGTGTGATGCTGGGAGTCGTCCGATCGGGTATGCACGTTAAAGCGGGATCGTCCGTGGTGCCGCGTTGCGGGTGGGGTCTCTTCCTTTGCTGCGACCTACTACCTGCTACCTGCTGCCTTCCATAGCCAGCATCTCAAACAAACGAACAAAAGGGGAAAAAAAAACCCATTGGCGGGGGGTTATTTTGAGGGGCTGTGTGTGTTGTTTCAAGTGGTGGTCCAAGGTACCGCGGAGAAGTGACCTCGCTCGCGCAGGAGATCAGTGGGAGATGCTTGTTTGAGCGGGCAGCATTGGTATCGAAGGGTGGCAGCGGGAGAAGAGAATCTGGGCTGGGAAAAAAAGGAAACTTCAAATCGAAAAAAAGGGAGTGCGGGTCGGGGAAGAGGGTGACAGTGAGTGAGTGAGAGTGAGAGAGAGGGAGGGCGAGAGATTGAGAGACGGGCTGATTTGTATGCCACGCTTCGGCTCCTTGACGGGGACGGATGTGACTGGGCCACACCACAGAAGGACAGGCCAGGCCGAAGGAATTTATTCAGCTCACCGTTTGCTGGAGAGGATGTTTTGTGATCGCGTCCTATTTCCTGATCTCGCTTGATCTTGCGGGTGTCGTGTGTCGAGGGAGACAGAGAGAGAAGCGACTGAGTTGAGGTGAGTTGAGAGAGGGTGATCGTGGCATAGGGGACGAGGAGCCATGAATTTCTTTGTTTGTGGTTCAGTTATTTATTTTATTAATTGGTTAAATTTAAATTTAAATTTAAATTTTTTTTGGTCTTTTTGAGTTTGCTGTGTAAACGGGAATTCTTTTTGTCGTTGGAGGGGCGATTTGAAACGAACTGGTTTTGGTTTGGGTTCATGGAAGGGGACACACCGTGTATTAGTTTTGCAGTTATTCGACAAGATTTTTCTTTCTTTTGGTACCCCCCCCCCCTCTCCTTCTCTTGAATTTGAATCCTTCACTTCAATGTTTGAGGTGTCTCCAGAGGAGTTATGATTCTGTGTAAGGTCTTGCATTGTGGTTTTCTTTGGACAGCGCTTCGAATTTGGCTGGGTGTTGGAACCTCTTCGTGGTTTGGGTGTTTGGACATTGGTGTGCTGATTGGAAGCGGAGCTGAAATTGCGCCCGCGTTCCTAATTTCCCGAGCTTGATCGGTTTGCATGGACGCAGAACACTTCGCAGCTGCCTTGGATAATGGAGATTGCAATTAGACCTCCTGGTAAAGGTCCATGATTGCGTTTTGCTGGGAGCCAGAAGAGCAGGCTTATTCACTTCTCAAGTTCTTTCTGCCAGGTACACGCCAGTTGTTTGTCTGTTCATATCCCTTTTTTACATTCACCCATCATAATTCGATTGAAGCTTCAAAGTTTTCCCTTGAGCCTCTAAATACAATCGCCTCTAATGTCATTCGTTCTATATACACTTGCGGCTCAGATCTTGGACCTCACAGTTTGAACTTTTTTATTTATTCTTTTTCGTTCAAGAAATTGACCTAATAGTGTCGGTTTGTTGAAGCAATTTGAACCCGAAGGTTTTGTGAGTTCCTGCTTCTGTGCATTTTTCGGTGTCAGAATATAAACTAGTTGAATATTCTTCTATGAGATTTTTCCAATGTTTTCTCGTTCGAAAGTCAGGATACTAGAGTTGAATCACACGTCATTACAACCCTTTTTTGCTTAGAATATTTCTCCAGTCTGGTGCTAGCACGTATTGAAAAATGTAAAGAATTGCAGTTTGGCCAGGTTTCAACTGTCATTGCAGAGTCTTGTCATCGACACTTCTCGCTACTTTATGTAATTTATTCAGATCATGAAGTATCAAAGTTGCATTAGAATGTGGTCAGTTGCTGACCCATTCCTACACAATTCTATTGTTTTGAAGTAGATTTCTGAAAGTGTTGCTGTCCCTGTTCCTAGCTAAGCCCCTACACCTAATAATATAACAGATTTGTCATCGTTCAAACATCCAGCGAACTCAGCACTGGATGTTCTAGTTCGCCGTAAAAGTGATGTAGAGCCTCTGGTCTTTGAAGACTATTTTTCTCTTTTGTACTTGATTCAAACGAGAGTATGGGTCATTCTCCACAGCATTTAGAAACTTCAGCAAGATTTATCTCCTGAGCGATGTTTCCTGTGTCACATTTCCTGAAGGTGGAAATGTATAATTATTTTCTACGTAGAGTTTCAGAGATAGCCTTACTTTTGGACGTTGCATAACTTGGGAACCTTGTGCTTCAAATCCTTGTGTGTACACGTTTTGCCGATCATCTTACACCCGTATTAACCATTATGTCTGTAAAAGAGGACCGACACAAAGGCTCCGTCTTTTCTCTTTGAGTCCATTGAAAATGGTAAAAGCGTCAGTACGGTGCGCCTTAGTAGATAGCTGTCACACGAATGTCTTGATGATATGCCTTGAGTTAAGAGTGTCTCAAAAACGAGGTCATATTTTTGAGTCCTCGTTTCCTACAACTACTATGACTTTTAACAAATGTTTCCATTTTTATATAATCGTTACATCTTTTGCTACGGTCTTGAGTGCTAAGCTTCTAATTTTCTTGTAATCAAGAAGCTTTTTCCTTTCCTTTTCTTTTCTTTTCCGCATACTCTATTTTCTGTAACATCTATACATCTCATAGTAAATGAAGGCGGATTTTATTGCTCAGGCCTCATAATCTAGTTCCCGAGTTAGTAGTTCTACACGATGACTTTCTTTTCACCATCTTGTCTGAAGTTCATGAGCATTTTTGCAAGAACAGTATGGATCGGTCTGTGAGTGAATATTCATTAAAAGTGATGTCCTGAAATCAGCGGGTGGTTCACAGGTGTTACTGCATGGTCGGAGGCAATCCCTTATTGAAGATCATTGCAAAAGAGGACCGCGTAACTATAGTGAACCACGAGGAAGGCAGCCGTGTGGAGAAGTCATCTGACGATCCTCTGAATGAGTCTAAACAAATTGTACCAAGATGGGAACTTGTGAAGATTGATAGCCTTCTTGATGTTTTCTTTTATTTGTGGTATGATCTAACACAGTGACAAGTTCTTGTCCGTTTGCGTATGGATTGGCGGTTGCATGATGTTCGATTTCCTTTATTCATGCATTTTTGATGTAATTTTCCCATTTGGCACTTTTTTGAGGAGTATTGCGTTTTATTTGTAGGTGTATCTTGATGTTTATTTAGGCACAGAATCTCAATCTGTTTTCTGCTTAGTTTTAGCATAAATGTGCCGAAGCTGATAGGTTCTCAGGGACATCTTCTAGGTTGGATATTTTCTGGAAGACACAGTGAGACACGTGGAGAATAAGAAGCTACCAGTTTCTTTGGCACGGGAAGATCTCCGAGATTTATCTGACGTTCACTCCGGGCTTTACAACGATGTGATGTCTTTCCATCATGTAACCAAGGTAATTCATTTCCCCAATACTTCCTATCTCATGTTTTATGCACTACGTTGCCTTGCTCACATCAGACATACTCATGTTTCCTTAGTGCCGGGCGACAGTAATTTGATGACCTGACCTTTTGGAATAAAATGCCTACTTTGTGCGTTCCTTCGTGTGGTTATGAATGTTATTATCCTGGGGCTTTTGCTTCTTCAATCAGTAGTACATGCCGTCTTTGTGTGCCAACAATGGAGCATTCGATTCACTGGTAGAACCAGAGCATAGTGATTGTTGGCGTGAACTTCATTGCATCAATTGGCGCATGTATCTGAAAGAAATTTATGAGTCAAGAGTATTCAGCTTTAACCGGTCTTTGTTGCCCTTAAGATGATCCTGAGAATTTCCTCTGCTGTCACATGTTTATTGATGGGGCCTGTCTTCAGTATGATCAATCGTTTGCTAGCAATAATTGAAACTTTAACTAGAAGAATACAGCATGATCTGGTCGAAGGAGAACAAGAATGTTGAACCATCAGCACAAGAGATCATGTTAAACCACGCTTCTGTGTCTATTTCCAATCTGATAAGCTCACTTTTATACTAAGCTATCAGAAGAACAGGAGTTAGATGTTTTATACATGATCGAGGAATGATGTTGCAGAAGATGCATTTCTTGATGAACTGTATCAGTTGAATCTTTTTGATATTTTGTAAGTCCTTTAGTTCGGTCCCATGTAATCATGTGAGGCAAACTGTGCTGTAACAGAGTCAGTTACTCGGAGTTCTTTTCAGGCATGGATCTGTACTAAGCACATGCCTTGGTCACGAAATCAAGGGACTGAGTGGGAGGCAACATCACAGCAGTTCAGAGCAATGGATTTCTGTGAGAAGATATCTTCTACAGCTTCCTGCTTAACGATTCAATGTTGGCCGCAGCGGTAACTCATCCACCATCATGTTGTTTATTATGTTGTGTACTCAATCTCTTTGCAGGTGATTGTTGCGACGTGGGTATAATAATCATGCTAATTTTGGTAGTGAAGAATGGCAACCAGGGAACTAAAACTGGAGCTTGTAAATTGGATTGCATGTGACTGTTTGTGAGAACCTCCGCTGTTGCAGTTTAAGTATTGATGTTATTCAGCTAGGGCTGCTTAGGCATCTGTAGGGAGCGTTATAGAGAATGCTGGTTATCATTCCTTGATTGTTTGAGTGTCATTGAAAATGTCGCTGCCTAATTTATGTTGGGGAAATTCCCCAGTAACTTTATTTGAAATTTAGTACTGAACGAAGTTTTTTTAATTTTTACTTTTTAAATCAAAGCAACTGATTTTGTTATGATCACTTCGATGGGGCAAGTTGTAAGTTTTAAACTTCTTATCCGGTGGTCAGGTAATGTGGTTAGTCTGTATTGCATGGCGTTCGTCCTACAGTGGATGGAGCTAAATTTCTTGTGAGTAGTGTATGCGTATGTGTTAAGCAGGACACAAGACGTCAATTGGATTGACGTGGATGGGTTGCAGGTATGTGTGTCGGAGATCTTTCAAGGAGGTTCAAGATGGAAAAAGCTGGAAATTTATACCGAGCAGTGCTACTTAGTGAAGCTAATTGTGTTCATGTATAGTCTTAAGGTTTAACAACTCGTGAAGTGATTACGTAGTCAACAGTTAAAATGAAGGGATTAGAGGTTGAGAGACATTACGTTGGGAGAAGGCTGGATCCTACCAGCGAATCCAACTGATGACAAGTCTCCCTCTGGATGCCACAAAAGTATTGGTCCTCACAACTTTCAGTTGCACCTTTATCAAGGAACAAGCTTGTTTTCTCAGCTTAAACGAGCAGGCGAGGGAGGTCTGGTTTGATCACTGAAGCTTTTATCTCAAAACTGAGTCTCCATTGGAAGGGTGCGGAAGAAGTGTTTGCCTCTATGTTTGAAGGAGTGCTTGATTTTCAAGCAAGATGCTGAGGGCGTGTAAAGATTCTTTTTCGCGTTTTTTCTTTTACACATTTTCCAACTGTGGTCATCTGGAGAGTGCAGAATTCACATCAATAATAGGATCGTTTAGGAAGGAATCAAAAAAATATTCTATGAAGAGTGCTGGAGACAATTTAAGTTTTATGTATCTTTAGGGTCACTGTAGAACACCTACTTGTTTTAAGGGCTTTGTGTGTATGGGTGCTATGGCAGCACCGGGCATTACATCCCCAGCCCGTATTAAGCTGACGGACTTGATTGGTATTGATGGGCTTCCTTCGGAGAATTATAAGCATGCTGTGGGCAGTCTCGCCCAGTCGCTCAGAAATTTTAATGCGGCCATCATCCAAATTCCTGAGTCTGATAACGTGCTGCTACGTTGTGTACTGGACTCAGTCCGTATGTTCTTCCATTCGAAGCCTATGGTGGGAGCAGATGCTCTTCATTCGGAAGACCCTCAGAATTGGAATGGTGCTGTTGGTTACTACGTTGATCCTCAACATTTCAGAGAGATTTTTGATTTTCGTCCTGGGAGGATGAATGTGGAGGGGCCTGCTATGGCCGAGCTGACTCCTACGGGTCTGCCCGAGCTGTTTGCTTCATTGGGCAGAGCCACCCGCATCATCCTGGATGCCATTGCTTGCTCTCTGGAGCTTCGGAGTTATTCGTTCACAGATCTCTTGGATAATGTTCCTCTGAAAGCGGGAGAAACGGCCACTTCAGTCATATCAAGTTGTTGCCACAACAGGTATATTGATTTTTCTGGTTTAAATTGCATTCGTCACTGAGGAAAATGGATCTGCCACTTTAATCGCAAATTGAACCAAGATTCTCCATTAGCTCAAGTTCCTGAATGTATGCAGGCCCGGAGCTCATCTTTCAGCAAACGTATTGAATCCTGAGCAAGCTGCTCTCTCATTCTACGAAGAGGATGCCGATAAAGGGCTGCTGACCCTACTTAAGTCTGACAAGCCAGGCCTTCAAATACGTGATATACAAGGTCGGTGGTTTGTTGCGGACGCAGACTTGGGTCCCCAAGACATGGTCCTCTTTACTGGATTGTCACTTTATCAAGCGACTGGAGGCTACCTTAACCCGTCGATGCATCGAACAGACAACAATACAAACCTTGGTCAGGCACAAGGTTCTATGTCGTATGGTCGGTGCACCGTGGCTTTCAAACTAATGCCCCGTGCAACTGCCATTCTACATTGTTCAGCTATGACTGCTGCGGGTCACCTTGTAGGAGGTCCATTTCAGCAGCCAATAGCTGTGCATGATTTTATGCAGCGAAACCATACCATAGACCAGCTTTCGGGTCGACCTAGTGTTCCTCCTTTCTCTTTTGCAGCTCCACTTGAAGGTAACTTTCCACATGACTGAGTTTTTGCCTAAAACTGTGTGTCGCAGGTACTGAAGGTTTTAGTGACCTTCCTGCAAAAGATACGATTCTGAAATTCTGTGTTACTGGTTGCGTTCGGAACTTTCGAGTCTTGATTGAGGTTGCTCGAGTTGCTTCATGTATTGTTGAAGAATATCTACGTTATAGAGATAAACTTACATGCAACTGGTCTTGTAAGGCTAACTAAACTACTTCGTAGTTTTTGTTCCTGCCACAGCTCAATCCAAAGCAACAATTAAACGGAAGAAGCAAGTATCTCGTGGGAAGCCCCTTGCTCCTTCAAAACGGTTACGACTTGAAGCCCAGCGCGTGCTTAAGGAACGAGTTCAAGAAATTGCAGACAACAAAGGTTTGAAGATCCGATACTGCAACTTGAAGGAATGCGAGGAGCAACATCTGAACTCAATGGTCAGTCCCTGTGCAGAGTTGCGAGCACAGATGGGTTGGCCCGCTGGTGTTCCGTTTGTTCATCCTCACGACCTGCCTAACAAAGCAAAGCAGGCTTTCTTAGAAGCATATGAACCTGGCTGGACAGCAGCTCAGGATGGTGACCTTCATTTGGTAGACGCAAGCCAAGCTCAACAAGGCCACATGCTTGCTTGTAAGATTTTAAACTCGTTGCTTTTCGATTCTTCTTTCCATATTTAGAAAATTTGACAGACATCCGACTTATCAAGTCTTGTTAAGAATGAGGAACTCATATCTAGAATGTTGAAACGATGTATTTATATTAAGTGCGAGGCATGCCTGTCCTCCAAGAGGAGCCTGATGGTGGATACGCGCTACTGAAACACTCAGGGAGAATGCGCATTGCTCGAATTAATGTGGCATAGTTCTCATGAAGTGGCAGGAGCACCGCATGCTGGTGGCGAGGACCAACGATATCCCCCCAAACCGACGATTATGGAGGATCAACGGTTCGCTGTGAAGACGGTGTTTGATTATTTGCGAGCAAAAGGAAAGCCCGTTCCGACTGGAAAGCCGCAGGTGGTCGGACACAAGGTGGATATTAGTTGTTTGGCGAAAGCGTCCTTCGAAGCAGGTGGACGAGCTCAGGTATCTTAGATTCTGCCTCTATTGTAAGATGTTTCTTTGAATAATTTTAGATACACAAAAATAATATACCCTGGTCATGTTGGAAGCATTCTTTTTTGGGAACTTTCTTGTGTTTGGATCTCGAGTTAGTGTTAGGTTGTAAAACCTTGAACTCCTTGCTTCACGGAGTTCGAAAGTTTTATTTCTGATGTGAAGTAAAGTTATGACTCCTACCACCATATGTCAGACTTTTGAGATAAAATACTTTGAACTACGAAAGGATTTATATTGCTAAACCCATCATGAATTCGTTTGGATGTCTCAGTTCGATGCAGAGGGTGGCTTTCAGCGTTTCATCGGGGATCAATTCCAGCTAGAAACTGCGTCAGAGCGTGACAAGGAGCGGGCTCTGGAGAGACTAAAAAAATTATACGACCAAGTTTTGTCTGATTACGTAGAAGACTTAGTTGCCAGCAGTCAGCAAGTTGGATAATCCAGAAAGCTCCAACAGTTGGAAGGGATCTCGCCTCTAATTTTAGCTGCCTTGATGACATCTTGAGCCACTTATCATTATGGCTATGATGCTCCCGTAGCTCAACTTTTGCTCTAGAATCTGAGGCGTAGTTCATCGTCCTCTTCTTTTTGCCCTTCGTTATCCCATCACTCTCCTCAATTGACAGTATATCAATGATTCCGATTGCTGTCTAGTGATGTCCTCACAGTCGAGAAACCTCCGCTAAATCATGCTAGCGAATGTAGAGACAACCTTAGCTGAAATCTCATGCCACTTCACTATCATTGTAGTGCATAGTTGGCCCAGCGTTGTATTAGCACATTGTTATGAATCTCTGTACAGACGGGCTTTCGGATGAGAAGTCAAACGATGTTGATACCCTTAAGAAATTTGAGGCTCGGGTCGCTAGATTGGCAGGCCTGTTTTTTCTTCTTCTCCATGTTCTTTATGTCGTTGTCCGTCTTCTTGTTCGTCTTCTCTTAGTATGTCATCAAAGTCGGATGCATGAATACTTATAATTGGTTATCGAAGACCTAATCACTTTATAAATGAGTGGTACATTTTAATCAGAGAAAGTCCTACTTTATGATGAGTTTTTGAACCAAGCTTCTAATATCGAGTTGTTCTAGCGAGTTTTTGAGTTCCTTCGGTTCTTCCTGTTTGGTATCTTAAGAGAGTCTAAGGTGGCTGGAGCAGGATGTGTAGTTGGGGATGGTGACATGAGAGTTGGTTTCATTTCATGTAGGTGTTAAAGTTTATGAATACTTTCAAAGTATCGTTCTACAAGATATACACATTTACACACAAAGTTACAAGTAGGATTATCTATATATTAATTTGTTAAAATTCTCTTCTGCTTGGATGGAACCTTATTTTACAGAAAACAAGAGTCACTTCAAAATCTGGATTTTGTCTATAATTGTCTATAAACCTGGGTTTTGTTAACACTTCAATATCTATCTCCTCTTCTTTCCTCTTGTTATTGCATGAATTCTAAACTCTAAATTATTTTTCTAAAAAATTGATAATCATGTACACTTTTAATCCAGAACTCAATATTGTTTCAAATTTAATTTCTGACCAAACTTTTGAGATCTCATGATTGACATATTTTCAAGAATTGATAGGTTTCCTGAAACTAAATGTCCACCCTTTGGTCATTCTTAAGGTATGTTAATCAATTTTTGTAGTTACAACAAGTATATATTTTACAAAAATGAATGCATTCATATTTTCGTTTCTTTTTAATATTTTTTTTATATAACTTTTTTTGTTTTTTAATAATTTTTAATCCCTATAATTTTATCAAGCAAATATCTCCAACCAAGAAGGCTTGGTTCCGTATCAATATATCTGCTTGCAAGTTCCCAAGGAAGCATTTGGAATGACGCAACCTGTACGAATCTGCAAGTCGGAGGTGATGGGGCTGAGAATGTTGGTAGAATGCACAGTTGCACAAATATCCGCCAGGAGCCAAACTGTTGCGGGAAGGATACTTTTTGTATGTGTAAAAGATCCCCCACCTCCCCACCCTCAGGCTTTCACTGTTTCACTCCAGTTGCTGCAGCAAATGTGTCCGTGGTTGTTGCGGTGGCTGGGACTTCATCTACCTTCGTTGAGTTCGGTATCAACTCCACCGACTTTAGCTCTGTGAAAGTATTCTCCGGCCTCAAGAGCGCTACCTTGTTCAAGAGCAAGACCCTGTGGTTGAGCGGCGCCGCCGAGAAAAGGCAGTCGTGTGGTGTGCATGCAGGTTTAGAATCCTTCAACAACATGTTCGAGTCGCTGTGCTACTTGTCACTAGTGTCTAAGGACGACATTGCTTAGCAGTTGGAATACATGATCCAGCATATGCTGATCTCGTGCCTAGAATTCAATCCCCTGATCACGGTATCCAGGACTCAAACAACTCCAGCGGTGTGGAAACCGCCGAACGACTCTTCTTGAGTCTTGAGGGAGATCAACGAGTGCAAGCTAGCTTACCCGCAGTACTATTTTTGCGTGCTGGATTTTGGCAACGTGAAGCAGGTGCAGATCGTCGGATTCTTGGTTTGTATCCCTCTCTTTATAGATTTGCGGACAACTTCGGGAGAACAATTGACTCAACCATGAACCCAATGTTGTAGGACTTAAGTGTTGGAACAAGAAAATTCAATCCACATCTCAATCATCGTTCATTACTTACAAATGGTACAATTGGTCCACGTCACACTGTTGCAGTTGAGAGTTCCGGATCTCAATCCATGTATTTATACCCTGTTGTATCACATTGGTTTCAAGTTGATTATATATTATGTTATTCCTCTGTTCCTCATGTTACTATTCTTAATTTGTTTAGTTTGTTCATCTTGTGTTTATTTTCTCATAGTATCAAAGCAATGTTCCTGGCATAGCCTATTTTTTGAAACTTTGAGTTCTTTTATCATTGAATCAAAGTTTTTCCTCTCTTTCATTTCTCCTTGTAAGAGTGTGCTATCTAAGTTCTACATCTAACTCTTATTTTATGATAAAACTAGCATCAATAGACATTGTTTTGTTTCTTTTTGCAAACTATATATTCTAATAATACAATAGCACTTAAGTTTCTTCTTCTCTTCTATTCCCTTGTCTCTTTTTGCATAAAACATATAGTATATCACCACTTACAAATACAAAACACCATGAGTACTCACAAAAGTATTTGTTCTAAAGAAACAATGCTAATATGACCCAAAAATTATAAACATTGGACTATGATGATGCAAAGCATTTTCAAGAAAGATCTATGGCGCATTATCAAACCTAAAGACAATCTTACTATGGAACAAGACAAGAAAGATAAGAGAATGGCAGCCAAGGATATTACCCCTACATTTGGAACCTTAGATGTTAATTACAATTACAAACAATACACTAAAGCCTTCCTCCAACTATCACTTATTCTTGATTTTGCCACACCATCATTGTCATCTAAGATCCATGAACTGCTTGGAATCATCTTAAGAAAGTAATCTTCATCAATACTATATTTGATACTATGGTTGTACTCAATCTCTAAGAATACTTACAAATGAGTGAACACTAAGATGTTACTTCTTTTATGCAACATGTAAATGATGTTATTAGAGATCTAAAAGTTGTTTTAGATTAACAACTTTTAGAAGTCATAGTTTAAAGGATATTAGATGGTTTATCAAAATATTTTGAAAAACTTATGATACACATGAAAAAAGAAAAAGACTTACCATCTTTAGATGAATTGTAGAATCAACTTCACACAATAGAAACTAATGCGCAGTTCAAAAAATCTCAAGAACCTATTAGTGAGGCATTTCTTATAAGGATTTGAAATATCTATCACAATTGACTTTATAAGGGCTCTTCATATTATCAAAGGTAGAATTAAGATCTAGTAAATAGACTTTAAGGACCTTGCCATCATCAAGTCCTTCCGTAAGAGCCTCTTATTTGTTGACAATGCAAAAAAAAAAGGTCATAGTTTGAATATATGCCATGAACTTACTAACATAATTCTTCATCAAGACTACACCAAGAATTGTCCAATTGCTAGAAACTCAAATGGAATCTCTTCCACATCACCAACATATAATAATTATAGAATTAATGTTATTAAAGAAAACTATGGTGATCCAAATCTAATTCATCTACCAAATGATGGAGCTATTGTAGAAACCTTTAAGCTACTAGCATTTAGAAGCAAAGTCAATATTGACTAGATTTTAGATTTTTATACTTCAAAGCATTTCATTGGTGACTATTCTATCTTTGATAAGATAAACCACTTCTATAGTAGCACAATCATATTGGTTGGAGGCAATGTTGATGTAATTTTAAGCAAACAATTAATCAACCTATCCATATGCATTAGAGAAATAAAGACTCTTAAAGAAGTTTGCTACATTCTTGGACTAAAGAAAAATATACTATCTGTTGGTCAAATAAAAAATAATTGCAAATTTTTCATTTTTTGATCTAAATAATATCTGCTACTAAATCACATAAGATTATAAGTAGAAGTAGACAGAATCTTCACAATAGAGTATACAAATTAGAATAACTATCTATTCACAATTTCAATACTAATACTAGTATAGCAACATCACTTACTTAGAATATAGAACTTTATAGATTAGAAGCACTTAGAAAAACTACAAATTCTCTTACATATCTTTAGCACTTATATTTGGATCACTTAAACTATAAAAGCCTTAAATGCTTACAAATATATTATCTAGTTTTAGGACTTCTTTCTTTTCCTACATAGACTCAGTATTGTAGTCATTGCTACCAAAGAAAACAAATCAAATATAGAATTCTTAAACAAACCAAGAATAGGACTATAAAACCACTAAAATTCATACACATAGATGTATGTAAGTCCTTTTCAATTTAATCCTTGATTCACTTACGTTACTTTATTTTGTTTACAAATGACTTCTCAAAGAAATTTTGGATCTACTTTATGATCTCAAAAGATTAATTTCTTCACATGTTCAAGAAATTCCATATGATAGTTGAAAAACAAATCTCTAAATACATCTTACTTCAATCTAATCAAAAAAGAGAATTCATTTTGCAAGATTTTTCTAAGTACTTACAAGAATGTAGCATCACTTATCAACTATCAATTGTCTATATATTTAACATAATGGTATTTTACAATAAAAAAATAGAACTATCTTCAACAAAGTCAAAAGTATGCTTATAAGTGAAATCAAATCTTTATTTCTATAAACTAAAGTGGCTTATATTGTTGTTCAACTCATTAATTATACTCCTACCTATATAAACCAAGGTATGTCATTTGATTATCTTTCCTATGGCATAAAACTAAATATTAGTTTAATAAAAGTGTTTGGATGTTTTTTCTTCATAGAAAAATTCAACACACAACAACATAAGATTGAATTGAGATAAGAATTTAAAATCTATCTAGAAATTGATAACAAGTTTAGAAGTTATAAAGTGTACCTTCTTGCTCATTGCAAAATCCAAATTACTTGGGATGACTTCTTTGATAAAAATATTTTTTTTCAACTTAGATCTTGCCATGACAACTCTCATTGCTAAAGAGCTTCAATCATTCTACTTCTAAAAAAATATTCTTAAAGACAATAACAATGATAAGAAAGAATTGGAGACCACACCTATCTCTAATACTACTATACATCTACTAATAGTCTAGATACCCTAAACTCCTTCATGCTCATCTTGACCTCAATTTTACCAATTTAATCTCCATTAATTCTAGAATTCTTACTAGTTTCTAAAAAAATACATACATCAGCCTCTATATCAAATTTTATGTCCTACCATACAGACTTTGATGACATTGATACTTAGCAATTTCATAACATCAATGACATCTTTTCTACTAAATTTGATTGTGTTGATAATTCAACACCAAGTCCATGACAACTCAAATGCTTAGTAGCCAATTCCGTGATATCACCTTGTATATTTTATTCCAACAAACATATTGTCAAGCCACCAAAATGGATGCAAGATTATTTTTGTGGGTTTATTACTTTGTCCATATTGAAACCATCATCCTATTTCAAAGCTATTAAAGATGCTAGTTAGAGGACCTCTATAGAAAGAAAAATGAAATCTATGTATGAGAATAACATCTAAATACTAACATCCCTTTGATTCAACAAACAATCTATCTCTATGATGTGGGTCTTCAAGGCCAAGCTCAAAGTAGATAATACCTTCTAAAAGAAAAATGCAAGGTTAGTAGCTTGCAGTTTTGAGCAATAACTTAGAATAGATTATGAAGAATATTTTGCTTTAGTAATAAAATTGAGTACAATTTGCATGATAATAGCCTTAGTAGAACAATAGAAATTGAAACCTTATCATATGGATGTTAAGATTACATTTTTCTATGGCAATTTGAAGAAGGAAGTATACATCACCCAATTATAAGGTTTTATTATAATTGGACAAGAACATCTTATATAAAAACTTTAAAAAACTTTCTATGGATTAAAATAAACATCTAAAACATGGTATGATAAAATTAATTCTTTCTTACACAAAGAAGGTTTTTCAAAAGGAAAAGGTGATTACAACCTATACTTTGCTAAATAAACAAAAAAAAAATACTACTAATGGTCTTCTATATAGATAATTTATCATTCATTAGAAATTATCAAAATTTTGTAATTTAGTTTAAATATTAGCTTATATCAAAATTTGACATGTCAAAATTGGGTGAAGGAGACATGACACTCTATTTGAAGGCAAAATGTATCAAACTTCTTGGAAGTATCTTCATGACTTAAAGTAGCTATCTACTTTAAGTATTGAAATACTTTGGTATAGAAAATTTTAGGCTTGCTACAATACAAATGCAAGAATGATTGAAGCTAATAGTTAAGATAAATGCAAAAACATATGACCTTACATATTATTATTCAATGGATGAGAAATTAAATCATCTTACATACACCGACTTTGATATCTCTATAGAAATTGGAATCTATTTAAGATTTTTTGCTTATCCTCAACAATTACGTCTAAAAATAGCCAAATAAAACATTGGATACATTAAACATATTTTAGACTATAGCATTCTCTACCTATCAAAATCCAATATAATTATCACATAATTTGTTGATACAAACTGGACAAGAGATATGGCTGATGGTTGATCTACAATGGACTTTATTTTCATATTGAATTCTAATTCTATAACTTGGCTTTTAAAAAAGCAACCTACAATAGCCATGAGCTTCTCTAAAACTAAGTATATGGAGATTATCCACTACTTCAAAAGAGGCGACTTGGCTAACTAAGCTCATCAAAGACTTTAGCCTTGAAATCACAAGACCTACTCCCATCTATTATAATAATGAAGGTAACATTCACATAGTAGTGAATCTTGTCATAAATCCCAAAACAAAATATATTAGTACTCATCATCACTTTATACAAGAAAAAATCCAAAGTGGAAAAATTATATTCAAATATATTCTTACATTAGAATAAGTTGTTGACATTTTTATAAAGGCTTTGGAAAAAAGACTATTTGAAAAGCATAGAACAAAATTGAATCTCATGACTTATTCTAAAGCTCTATACTTTTAGCTCCAACATCTACAATCTCTTATTTATAATTCCTAACTTTTGGAAATTTAAAGACACTCTCACCTTTGGAAAATTGCTTTGCATCTACTTGAAGCTATAATGAATAGGCCTAGATCATAGCATCCCACTCATTAGGATTTTCTACCATTCTTTGTACGTCTAATCTTTCAAGTCTATCTTCTTCAATCAATTTTCTCTTCTAATCTTCAACTATCATTTGCAATGAATACAAGACTCTTTGAATTCTATCACCATACTTGTGCTCTATTATCAATCTAAGTATTAATACTTCTATTATAAATAACTTTGGCACTAAAATCAAAAAATGAGTCGTTTTCTTCAATTATCTAATAGTCTCCAATAATATATGTTCTTCTTTTACAAATATTTCTATCTCTTAATAAATTTCCTTTTTCAATTAGCTACCTTCAATGCAATTGTTTTTATCAAAACAACTAATTCCAAAATTCAATGAGCTGGTATCTCTTCTTGTCTTTCCATATTCCAACACAAAATTAACTAGACACCTATAAAGACCTACAATCCTTAAAGAATCTCCATCAACCTCCTCTAAACCACTACAACTTAAATAAGAATCCAATTGTACAATATCAATAATTCATTCATTTCAAAATTCAATCAACTCTCTCTGGCATACAAAACTGTAATCTTTGTCACTCTCATACTCTTCTAAAGAATAAAGCACAATTATTAACCATGACCATAGCGCCTAACATATCAAATCAAAACACAAGTAATCAATATGGTTTGGACATATTCAATTCAATATGAAAGGAAATAAGACAACACAACACAAAACTCATAAAATTCCATCTATACTAACCTCACCAATTTTTCAAGAAAATCAAGAAGGTAAGCATCAATTCACCTTTTATAAGAGCTCTTCATTGAAAATCTTGCTTCATGTAGAAGTGACCCTATTTAGTAAGATGTAATGGAAAGGATTGTTTAGCAAGATGTAATGGAATCACCAACCCACTTCGTTGAGCTCTCTCCTTGACTTGACAAGATCAATGTAGACACAAGATTTCTCAAAATTATTACAAAAACATCTCAACTTCACTTCTAGGACGACTCACCCTTGAAGTGATGTTTGCAATAAGAAAGAGAGTTGGGACAATGATTTCAATCCACATCTCACTTCTCATTCATTACTTACAAATAGTACAATTGGTCCATGTCACATTGTTGCAATTGAAATCCAATAGTTCCAGATCTCAGTCCATGTATTTATACCTTGTATCAGTGGTTTCAAGTTGATTATATATTATGTTATTCCTCTGTTCCTCATGTTACTATTCTTGATTTGTTTAGTTTGTTCATCTTGTGTTTGTTTTCTCATCAAGATGTGAATATGGGTTACCAATATGCAACCGCGTAAAGAACAAGACGCTATAAAATTGATGATGGCAACTCTCATGAACAGCAATCTGAAAATACATACAATAGGAACACAGTGCCCACACCAGTTGCAATAAGAAGCGATACTCATTCAACTTTAACAAGCCAAAAAGCTGGCAAATTGCGGCGAACACTTCGCGCTTTTACAATCATCCATCCTCAATCAATTGAATAATCCTGGCACTGAAAAGTTACTTCTTCTCATCCTTTTCAGCCTGTTCGGCCTTCTTCTTCCGAACACCCACCAACCTCTCGTTCATCCTTTCCAGGCGGAGTTTGTAGTATCCCTTCTGAGACTTCATCTCGTCAGTGATAGATACAATCTCGGCGGTAGGTTGGGGCTTCACTATGGGCAAGACTGGTCTAGTCAGCTGGGTCACGCTCGACAGCTCTTCAGCGGTCGCGTCTCCGGCCTGAACAGCACAAAGGTAACATCCAAGCTTAAGAACAACAAATCGTGAAGTTCTTCGATTGAGACGACACAATTTCTCGAGTATTACAGATGCGGACCATTTGGAGAGCCAAGAAAAAGTAATCAGCACTAAAGCTATTCCAAAATAAACTCGTCGGCACAGGAGAATGAGGGAAAGATATACATATATGGGAAGCTCCGTAATCTGATGTAAGAAAATCCATATAGAGAATATATGTAGAATGACCATAAGAAAGTAGTAGTCCCAGTACGCTGTTTATCAAGTTCGACAAACGAATAAATTTATGCAGCATCAATCTTCTGGCAACGAGCACTAAAAAACAGATAAAATCCAGTAGTGAGGATTCAAATGATTAACGTACCTTGGTCTTCTTCGAGCGTCTAGGGAACACAACCAGCTTAGCCCTGTAAGTGTTGAGCCGATTGATGTTCTCCTGAAGACTCTCCAAACATCGATTCTTGCGGCGATGGTCAACAGCAATACCAATAGTGGGAGCAAGCTTCTTCGGGATGCCAGCAGCCTAGTAAAATTCAATTTGATTGTCGTCAGAACAACCCAGACAAAAAAAACCATAAATCATCGTACCAAGAAAGGTGGAACCCTACACCAAGTTCATCATGCACTTCGAGCGGAAACATTTCTGCGACATGAATAGAACTACGACGTTATTTCGCCGCGCGAGACCTGATTATGTCCAACCAATGATCTACGACGAGACTCTGTAAGAGATGGACTTCGACGCACACTGCTCAGAAACTAAACCATTTTGATAGGCTGAGCACCAAACTCTAAAAATTTCATTATCTGAATATTGCCTCAAATACTGCAAGTGGAGTTCAAGATTGTATGGCATGCATTGAATAAACTAGGAAGCCTCTGTTTTCCCTCAGAGTGATAAGTAAAGAACTGAACTACCTTCAACTCTTCCAAGGTGAACCCGCGTCCAGAACGGATCTTAGAGTTGTACTTCAAGGTCTGAGAGTGCACGACTGGTCGGAGTGGTCCAGCAGTAGGGCGTGGAAACACAGCGACAGCCTTCTTTTGACGTGCTGCAAAACCAGTCCATTGCAACAGTATCAGTAAGATGATCGAAACCGAAACATCAGTGTCGGTTACGTTTCTGAGTCAAGCTTTCGAAATAGTACATTGAAATCATCCCGCAGTAACATACTTTCAAAGAAAGAAGCCATTACTGCAGATTCACAGAGGTGTTCCTACAATACATTGGCTTCACAAAATTCATAGGGTTTGAGATGTTCCAGACAAAAAAATTACACTTCCGTAATAAGGGAAAGCTAACAACCAATTCAGGAAGATCCGAAAAAACTATAGTTACCCGTTCTTCTTCTTTTCTTGCGGGCGGGCTGGTTGAACCAGGTCCTCACATAGTTCTGCCAGTCCTTCTTGAAGTGACCATTGGGGATAACATTATTATGCTTCACCATGGTGCCAACCCTGAAAATAGACCGACTCCGACATCGTTATGTCATAAACCCTTAAACCCTATATGAGGAATGCGAGACAAGAACAACATCGGCACGCCACTCCATCACAATTTCACCATAGAAGTCCAACAGGTAAGTGCCTCCAATTCCAGTGAGAATCCGGCGATCGAGAATTACCCAGAACCGAATGCAGTATCGAAGACTAAACAAAAACAGTCCAAGGCAAGCAATAGCGCAAAAATTTCCAGACGCGCACACATTCCAGCGTTCCTGAACGCTACAGATCATTCTACTTGGACCAAAAACTGCAAATTTCTGGCAAGGTTATCTGATTCGATGTACCTTGAGGAGCTTGCGAGGCAGCGACGCACGATCTAGCGGGACCAGGAGAGAGAGGAATGAGCTCTCGCTTGAGGTTTCTCTATCCCAAAACTCAGCCCTAATTTTGACGGCCAGGATGGTCATTTATCCAACGGTTGAAGATAGCAGGGGAGAAGGATGGACCCTCCGCAGACCCGGCCCTTCATTTAGGATTCTGGGAGAGTACGTCCAGGGAATTATTTTTAAATATTTGGGTAGATTTTTAATGATTGTCTATTTAAAAGCATCGTGCGAATACAAAATATTTGGAGGAAAAATAATTAGTTACTTTGATACTTTAAAATTCATTATTTTATCAATTTGGCGGAATTTTTTTATTTTTGATAGATTAAAACATTTTGGAGACTCAATATATGATTAAGATTAAAACCCAGGTTACAATCTAAGATCCAAAATTAGAACAGAAATGGACGCAACTTGAATATAAATATTTTCTGAGGAAGTTTCATCTATAATTGTGCATATAATCACCAATCGGTGTTAGGCTACTTACCCACAAACTTTAAGACAACATTCATAGAAAATAAACAAACAAACAAAAAGGCATTAACAATTAGCCTTAATTCCTTCCAAAAAAAAGTCTTCAACATTGGGATTATTTTTTAAAACATAAATTAAAAAAACAAACCATTGTATGCTTTTTTTAAAACATATATATATATATATATATATATATATATATATATTACTTTACTTTTGGCATTTAAATGCATTCCAATTAATACACTTACATACAGTTTTATGAAGCTTGGCTTTGATTTTTGAGTAAAAGCCTGCAAGTGAACTCAAACAATTTCTATCAATGAGCAGTGTATAAATTTATTTTTTTATTTTGAATTTTGAATTTTCTCAAACTAACATCAATTCTTTGTTATATTTGTAAAGGTATTCATCATTCACAAAGACTTGTGAAGGCTACTTAAATAATTAATTGGAGTTTTATTATCCAAAAAATTACTATTTATATTTTTATTAATATATATATATATATATATATATATACATACACATACACACACCATACATATAGTAAGACAATATCAACATTTTACACATTTTAATTAATTGGTTTCATAAAATGGGGTGAAAATTTTCACTCTTAAAAATTAAAAAAGAAAAAGAAAAGAACCAAATATTTGTATAAATAAATTTATTTTTTTGGTCATAGATATAAGTATGTATCACTTTATATATGATCGAGTGAAAATTAACTTTTGGTTAATTATAAGCTTTGAAATGTTACAAATGTAGTTATGAATTCTTCATTTTGGATCTTTAATGATCTTATTTTAAAAGTCGATTGATTGAAATTATACTTACAGGAAAATACAAGATAATTTCATTTTAAAATTTCCATCAATTTATTGCACTTATGAATAAATTTAAAGATTTAGTATGATATATCAAGAATAACTATTTAATGATTCCATACTAAAAAAATGTTGACCAATAATTTATAAAAAATCATCCAAATTTATCTTTTTATTTTGCCTTTATCTTTAAAACATAAGAATATATTTGTAAACTTCTAAAAATTAAATTTACACTAGTTTTATTTTAGAATAATTATTAAATATCTTATTTTATACTTTAAATTTTGGTACTTATTATATTTAGGTTTTTTAATTTAAAGTATGATAGTAAATTTTGTGAATATAATTTATTAAAAATAAAAATTATAAATTAGATTTGTGTAGTGTGTAAATTTCTATTATCTAGAATCTTGTATACATCAAAACCATCACAAATTAAAAATATGTAGTAAATATCACACCTTCTTTGTTACATCTATTTATTCTAAATTGTTTCTAAATTGTTCCTAAACTTTTTTCTTTAAAATTCATTCTTAAAATATGCAGCTAAAATGCATTGTACATGAGACAAGCATGAGTTTACATTTCAAAATTTATACATACAATCAATTGTTATACCTATATTCAAGTATCCAAATTTTTTAATACATATTTTGATTTTGTGTCTTAACAACCCATTAGAAACCTTGTCTCAATGATTTTACATGGAAATTGTTGAAACCTTTCTTATGCAAATAAAGAGTTGTACAACTCATTAAGTTATAGATTTGTTGTAGAAAAAATCCAAAGATTAGTTCAAGTAAATAAATTACGTTTGTGACATAAGTTCACATGGCCGCTATTTGCAAATCGCATATGAGTTCCTGATGCGGTTGTCGGGAAGGATTCCAAACTGGCCAAAGTTCCGGACGTGGTGGTGGCGAAGGGCCTAGAATCAAAGCTGGGGGGAGGCCATGCAAACAATGAGCCTCAGAGCTGGGTGACGCAAGAGATGACGATGTCAGGTATACGAAATCTATGAAGTAGAAAGCCCAACAACAACCTTGATGTGCTAAGAACAGTAACCGAGAACACATCTTAGTACAACTAGGTCTGTGAGGAGGATCCTAGACCACGCCTCTCATGGGGATCGATGATACAGTGGAGCAGAGGACGATGGAGCTCGACAATTGTGCTCAACAACGAGGTCTGACAGAAAACAAAAAGAGAGCGACTGCAAGGGTGTCAACATCCACAGCAGGAGCTTGAGGGAGCTCATTTGCCAGGAGGTATCTATTTGGGAGAAGGCACAGAGGTAGCAGATTTTGTATGAAGAGGAGAGCGGAGGCCGTCCTTCAGATTTTGTTTTGGTCTTTTGTTGTTGGCGCAAGCTCTGTTTTGAATAGTACACAAGTAGAGGTCACGAGGTTGAGCAGGTAGGAGAGGACTGAGCAGTGGCTCTGGAATCTTTTGAAATCTGGTTTGGAGTAGCAGTTGCGGTTCTAGTGTCGTTCGAAACCCCCGACACTCATGATTCTAGTTGTAATATGCATGTACTTGTTAGATCAGCATGAACTTTATACTATACTATGCACAAGTTGAATATACTATACTATGCACAAGTGAAATGCCGCGTGAGCTCACTACCCTTTGAGTCCTTGATGTGAACGGCGCTAGTTGTTCTCCAGAGCCTCCGTAGGATTCTGTGCGCATGCTCAATATTGTTTGAATACGCCATACAGTTAGAATACGCCATTAGTTGTGAGTCAGCTCATGGTTGGAGGGCCTCGGATTTTCTTTGATTATTCTTTTGAATTAACAAATTTTGGGCTGGAATCTCCCAGTTAGAAGCCGCCTGACGGAAGCTCCCAGATAAGCTTAGAGACATCAAAATCAGAGCGAAGACAAATGTTTGGTAACAACCGTGTGGTCTTCCTGGGCAATTTGGATCAGCTTTCTTTGGAGGAGCAACCATTAGAATTTTGAATATGTTTAGGATTTTTTGGATTAACATTTGGTTCCTTAGATTCTACTCATGTTCTTATCATCATTTATTAATAACTAGGATCTATTAGTGTTGTTGAAGGTGCTTTAGATTATAATTTATATTATTCAAAGCAAATCTAATGTAAAATTGTAAATTCGTGCAAACATATTGCAATCAAAATATTTGTAAGTGAATAATCATTACATTATTTTGAAAATCTATCAAAAAGTGTATGATTATGATATGAAGATCTTTTTCTTATTTTTGGAAATAAGCATTTACAATGAAGATGAAGAAATATAATTATAAGTTGCAAGATTTTATTGCAATACCAAACATGCAAGACATTAGTGAAGATATGTAGATAGAATATCAAATGTGTGTTGGAGAATTGAAGCATTTATTAAAAGAAGAAGAGTTATTAAACAAAAACCAATGTTCAAATCTATGCAAGAATATTGATTGTGTTATGAAGGTATTTGGCTATCTAATATCTTGTAGCAATGATGCATCACAATATGAGCTTTTATTGAGTGAGTTATTTCTTGTGTTAAAGAAAGTCTTTTCTTTAGTTAAGAGTTGTGCACAAGCAATTTTCAGTAAAGCAGTTATCTTTCAAATGAAGAACAAAGAGAGTTTTAGACAATTACTTTGGAATTTAAAGTATTGTTGTGATATAGCAAGTGATATGCTTTTAAAATACAATTTCAAAAATGTGAAGACAACATGTTGGCTTCTTTTTATATAGCAAGTTATGATGAAGTTGAAGGTAATGATAAATACCTCCATGAAAGGTTGATTCTTGCAAATAAAAAAAATCATTCTCAAAATTATGGATTAGTAAAGCATCTATTACAAAGGTTGGAAGACAAACATGCTATAGAAGGTGGAGAATTAGAAGATTTGAAATTATTATCAAACATGAAAAGTCTTGAACTTATTAAACTTTTGAATGAAGAAGCTTATAGAAAGGTTTATAAGTTAAAGTAATTGGAGCTTGTATGTATGACTAAAAAGATAGATGTTGGATTTGATAAACTTTTTATCAAAGAGGTGAGAATTCTAGCAATGTATACCATTCCAACTTAATAAAATATCATTTTGAAATAAAAAATAATATAAATAAAATGTATATATCTTATATATCTATAAAGAAAAAAAATACTTGTATTTCGGAATGAAATTGATGCAAACGAATTTAATCAAGATACTTGAAAAGAATGGACAAGAAACTAACATTTTTTTATTTTCTTATTTTTATTGATATTATGTCTCAAATTACAAAAGGGATGTATTATTTACATGACATGTATATTATACATTGCGATCTAAAGCCTAAAAATATCTTACTTTATATCATGGAAGAAAGTATCATGAATAAGATAATTTGACATATAATTGTTAAAATAATTAATTTTAAAATATCTAAGATTGAAGTTGAAAGCAAACCAAAAGCTACAAAGAATAAGCAAGTTTATGGTACAAAAAATATATGGCTTCTAAGATATTATAGAATAAATTTTAAATAATAACAATGAGCCATTTTGAAGCAAATATTTACTCATTTTCAATGATATGTTCAAAGATTCTTTCTAATAAAGATCCATTTTCTGATGAAAAGAAATCAAACAAGATATTAAAAAAAAATAGAAAAAAAATAATAGACTATGCTTACCTTCAAATTGTAATGAATTAACTAAGTTTATTGAAGAGTGTTGGAACTTAAATCCTTTGCAATGGCCAAAGTTTGCAAGTATTTGTAAAAGATTGATTAAGTTGAAGAAAATATTTTTTGCTAGATTTATTATTGAAAAAATACTATTTTTTTTGTGTATCAAGGACCAAAAGACATCAAACCATAGAATTCCAAAAACAATTATAATAAATTACCATTAGTAAAGCTTGTATTTAAAAATGAGATAACAATATGTTGAATTAATCAAATTGATTAGAATTGATTAGATTAGATTTGAATTTATTTTTTTGTATATATACTAAATGATACAATGATGGATGTATAATTAAATATAATATATTTTTTATAAAATTTAATTATAATATAATTTGAATATTATGTATTTTTTTAAAAAAATCATGGCTTAATTTCTAATTTTAAATTAATATACTTAAAGAAGAAATATTTCATAGATAACAATATTTTTTGCAAATATCACAACTATGTAAAAGTGATGTTAAGACATTGTGTCTTCTTGAAATAGTTGGAATAGATAAGACCACAATAACAAATATCACATTTAATAATGTGAAAGATATATATGATGTCTCATGCTTTTTTAATTGCAATGAAAGTATTACAAATATACATATTTATTCCAATAATTATCTAAATAATATGAGTAGATAAAAGTAGATTAAAGTAAAAGCTTCATAGATATGACTTTGACTTTAGATGTGTTTGTAGTTAATTGGTAGGTTAGAAACTTGGCCAATAAGATAGCCACATGTTGCACTTGTTGATAGCTTATGGTATAAGCTAATTATATAGTACATGTATTGAAAACTTGCCTTGCAAGTTAAAACATATGTCTTGCATGTTGGACACATGTCAAAGGTCCTATAGAACATCGTTACGTAGCTCTTAGTTAAATATTATTTATAGAGGCAAGAATGAAGCCTTCTTCACTCTTGTCAATGTCTTTCTAGTCTTTAGTTTTGTTTCAAGACTTTCTAGTCTTGTTGTCTTTGACAAGAGCCATTTTAGTCTAATATAATCCATTATTAAGTGATTATCTAGTATTTTCAAGTAACACAAGAGTGTATTAATCTTTTAATTCTTTGAAATTTATGTCCTTGACAAAAAATGGTGGTGACTGTTATAAAATTTCATGTTATATTTTAGAATAATTCAAAGACAAATCAAAACCAAAGGATTTGGAGGAAGCTTAAAAAATATTGAAATTATTCTTAACTAAAAACAAAGTCATTATAGTCTTTGATTATGTAAGGAATCAAAAACATATTAAAGGTGTTTTACCTATAGATAATTTAATTGCTAGCAATAGTAGCACATTAATTATGATAAGTCAAAATTGAAAAGTTACAAAGGATTTAGATACAAAAATATGTAAAATAAATGTTGAAGAACTTGATGAAGAAACAAGTATAAAGTTATTTATTACTTATTTTTGTAAATACAAAGATAAGTTGTTTAATGAACTTGTTGAAGTAAACAAAAATATTATAAAAGCTTATAATCATTTATCATTGAGTCTAAAAATTATAGGTGCATTTTTAAGTAAGAAAAAGAAATTGAAATATTGGAAGTAAACTTTATGAAGGTTAAAAAGAAGAAGTGAGTTGGATGGAGATGGAAAAAATAGTGACTATAAGATTTGGAATACATTAAAAATAAGTTTTGACAACTTGAAAGTTGAAGAAATGAATAAGTTCTTAGACACATGTTATTTCTTTTGTAATGATGTGTATCTTGATTGCATGTTGAAAGAAAAGACATTGAAAATATGGACTAACAACAAGAAAAAGATATTAGAAGAAGAAGTGGAATTTATATTGGATATATTGATAAATAAATCATTAGTAAAAATAGACAATGATAGAATTATGAGAGCTCATGTTCAACTATAAGAGATAGGTAGAAAGATTGTTGAAACCAAAATGAATTTTAAAGAAATACAATTGAGGACCATGAAAGTAGAGTCATTTCATAAAATTTTAAAAAAGATAATGCATGTAATTATTATTGAAATAAAAAGTAGATAATTTATAATGATATAAAAACTTTTTGAAATTTAAAAGATAGAAATATGGCATTTTCATATCATTTAGATATTATTATTATTTTAATAAGTATATTGATATAAAAATAATTTTAATAGATTTATTTTATTTTATTATTATAAAATTTAACATTTCTTAAGTTTTTTGTTAGTATAAATATTCTAAATGTTTTGTAGGTAAAATATGTTGTTTTATAGTTAGAAAGGTTGTATTATAAAAATTTAAATAAAAATCTATATATCAAATTTAATAAAACTAAAAGTACTTATTTTTCATCACTTCAATTATTAAGCTATAATATTGATGATTTTATATCAAAAAATGGCTTAAAAAGATTACATATGTTTTTTAAGTTGACAAAATATTTTATCAATTTAAAAGATTTCTTGCTATATATATCATTTATATGCAAGGTACAAAAAATATTAGACAGAATAATACATATGCTAATTGACAAAGATATTTTCAAAAATTTTAAAACCTTAAATGAGTAATAATTAAAAATTTGTATTTTCATTAAAAAAATAATAAAAATCCAAAATCATTCTTTGAAATGGATACATTATTGAATTTTATTTAGAAGGATGTTTAAACTTAATTATATTACTAAATAAATTAGAAAATTTAAAATCATTGAAAGTGCTCAATTTAAACAATTGCAGGAAGTTTGCAACATTGCCAAAGGCAATAAGTAGTCTAATATCTTTGAGAAATCTTAATATTTGTCAGCGTTCAAGGTTGACATCCTTGCCAAGTAAAATAGGTAATTTCATAACTATAACTACCTTGTTTATGACGGAATGCTTAAGTTTGATATCATTGCCAAATGCATTAGGCAACCTCATAGCTTTGACTAACTTAGATATATTAAAGAGCTCAAGTTTGACATCATTGCCAAATAAATTAAACCACCTCACATCTTTAATTACCTTAGACATATTGTGGTGCTCAAGCTTGATAATATTGCCAAATGAATTGAGCCACCTTACATCCTTAACTACCTTAAATGTAAAGGAGTGCTCAAGTTTGACATCATTACTAAATGAATTGGACCACCTTTCATCTTTGATTACCTTAAATGTAAAGAAGTGCTCAAGTTTGACATCATTGCCAAATGAATTAAGCCACTTCACATCTTTAATTACCTTAGATATATTGTGGTGCTCAAGCTTGATATTATTACCAAAAGAATTCAACTTTACATTTTTGACTATCTTGGACATGTTGGATTACTTAAGCTTCATATCATTCCTAAAGAAATTCAGCAATTTCACATCCTTGACTACCTTAGATATGTTGGAGTGCTCAACTTTGATATCATTACTAAACAAATTGGACAACTTCGTATTTTTGGCTAACTTAGGTTTATTAAGATATATCAACCTTGACATAATTGCCATATAAATTAAGCAATTTCATATTTTTTATTACTTTATAATGATTGTAAATTTTAATTTGAGTTTGATTATTTATTTATTTATGATTAGATTTCTTTCTAAATCATGTTTTAAATTTGTATAAATATTTTTTTTATAGAAATACTTTATTATTATTATTATTATTATTATTATTCTTTGTTTTTGAAATTTTAAACTTTTTTATAAGATTTGAATTTTTATTTATTATTATTTTTTGATCATATACTTAAATATAATTTATTATAATTTTTGATTAATAATTATTTTTATTATTTTTCCAACTACATTCTTTTGATAGTATATTATATTCTCTTTTTTTATTATATACGGATATCATTAATTATATTGAAGATAAATAGATATCTATATTATTTAAATAAATAAAAATAAATAGAGATAGATTAACTATAAAATATCTTCTTTAAAAAAACATCAGAGAAGATTTTTAAATACAAATCCAATCAAAACATGTCTTTGGATGTATTGTATAGCTTTAGAAATTTAGTATAAAAAAATAATGTCTAAAAAGTTACAAAAAAAAGTTATTACAAAATAGACACTTAGAAAACTTTATGATTATTTTAAAACCTCTACATAGTATTTTTGTATGCTAGTATACAAAAAAGGAAGATTAAGACTACTTTAGTCTTAGCAAACCTTTTCTTAAATTTTAATACTTATTCAAGTTTCTTTAGTTTCTAAATAATTATTCACAAATATGTTTAATTAACACTATGATAAATATAGGTACATTGTTTTATTTTTTTAACTCAAAAGCCTTTTATTAAAATTATTTTGTAGAACAATGATTTTATCAAAAATGTTCGTTAAAACTTAAAATAAAATTTGTTAATTTATTTAACAAGTAAAAAACAATCGTCACATTAATTACTAATTTTTAGATTTATATTGCATATCTTTAACTTTTTTTTGTAGCTAGTTCTAATGATGAATCATTATTTTTTACTTTTACAAAGTCACTAACAATGCTACAATTACAATGCTACAAGTCTAATTGAGCTGAAATCCACCAGATGTAAACACAATGTTGAGATTCCAATAGCTGCCGTGATGGCTTCAATTGCATGCAAGAATCTTTAAAATGAGTGTACAAACATAAAGAACATCATGCTAACCGCATTGCTGATCGCTAGTGCCTAACAACACTGAAAATACATGCGTTTATAGCATATAAATACATCAGCTTCACTATATACATTTAATAGCTCAGAGATTTAATGAACAAGCCGAGTTGAGTATGTTTTGTTGAGAAGTGCCCTCGAAGTTAATGATATCATTTCATTAGAAATGTTGCAATAATAAGAGTTTGTCTTCAAGCTGCTACTTGCAGGGGAGAATTGTCACTCAAAATGCTTTTTGCAGACTTGAGGCGAATGTAGGCGAAGATGAAGCGTGCCTGCCAGTTGAAAGTATTGCGACCGTTAGCGCACTTCTTTACACGAAGAGTTTCTCAGATAACACAATCAATTTAGCTAGGAGACATTCTTGCTCCACATCAATAGTAGATGGAACAACTTACCCATTGGAAGGAAGCTAGTGTCCACCAACTTCCTAGAAGTCCAAATCCTAGCGATTTAGCGGCCTGCATACACGAATCGTACTCCATGGTACATTAAATTTGTCACCAGGGCTTTACTGGTTCGCAAGTGTGTTGTTTTAATACACATGAAATAGAATATTGAGACATTCCAATATTGAGAATTCCTTGACCAAGAAGAAATGTAGTGTCTGTAGACCCATGTTGAAAAGGCGAGCGTATGTAAATTAGGTATGTTATAAGACAGTTAAGCTGGATATTAGAAGTGGAAAAGAAATCCTACGCACCAGGAGCATGATGGTGCCGCCGATGAAGCAAGAGGTCATACTAAGACTCAAGAATCTAAAGTCCCTACCAGCCTGCAAAACAGTTTGTGATTCAGTTTGTCAAATTTGTACAGTTCTCATCACAGAACTGAAGTATAAGTATGCGTGAGGTATAAAGAAGCCAGGAAGCAAGGAACATTACCAGTAGAGTTCCTTCCAAAGACAAAGTTGGGGGACATGAAATCGTGCTGACTATGAAAGGTATTGTTATTCCTCGCATCTGGACAATAATTTTAAAAAATTAACACAATTAAGTATTTTTACTTCAGAAGCGGCACATGGATGTGAAAATGCAAAGAGAAATCATGCAGAAGTGTAGAATATTGTGTTTTTTCTTGTTTCATTCGTCTGTATTACCTTGACGTCTTCAAATAGACAAAGTAGCCTCAAACACGAAATCATGGTTTGATCAAAACACATCCATAACTCGAAACAAATTAAAGCAGTAATAGACATCAAACCTGTGATATGATTGCAGTGTCTTTGGTAAAGACTTGGGGACAAATCCAGGGTATAGAAACTGCTATTAGACCAACGACGGTTCCAACAACCAGTCCTATAGTCATGAGCTGTTTGAGAAGCTTCCGTGCCTGATGTGAAGAGCAAAAACCAAAAAAAATGTCAATCTTCACTTGAAATAAAATACAATGCAACCAGGTAGGCTGCGGAGGAAAAGAAAAAAGCTTATGAATTGGAATTAGTAGGAACTATTGATATGCCAATGACACTGGCAAATTACCCAACTTCCCTAAGAAAGCTGTAGAGCAGATGAATCACCTGCTTCAAATTCTTCTGCGAACCATACATGAGACGAGGCATGAAGGACTGCGCAGTTTGAGCAAGAGGTTCTCCCCACACAGCACAAAGGCCATAAATTCCAACCATAACCTGTTAGACCATATGCAACAGAGATCCGCTTATTAGTGTGCTAGTTCTCAGTATCCTTGGCACGGGTAGAATATGAAAAGCAAGATCATTTTAAGTGTTTGTTGCTTTCAACTGGACAAAAGAAACAGAAACCAATATAAAAAAATTTTAAATAAAAATAAAATGTAAAAATGAAATGAATAAAGTAAGAAAATTCAGAAGTAAAATCAACTCCATGCCGTGGCAGTTGAGCGAGAATCGGCAGTCACCTGATGAGCCGCAATCGTAACAGCTCCTAGAGAAGTAGCCAAAAATGTGACCAATGTGTAAAATGCCACCTGCAAGAAAAAATTCAAATACAAATATATATATATATATATATATATATATATATTGAAGTTAAAAAAAACCATAAACTGCAAGAGATTTAAGCACCTGACAGAAGGATTTACAACTTTAATTGCTGTCAACATTCTTGTGCGTTTCAACCTAAAGAAAACAAACACAATGAAGGCAAAACTGAATTGGAATAACATCTGCTGAATGGCATCAAGATTTGCCGCCTACCTTCGATATCATGGATAGAAGTAGCGGGGCGGTAAGTTTTGCAACGTCAACTAGCTCTTTAAGAGAAGGTGCTTTTATATCAAAAGGGCTGTAGCCCTTGTTACTAAGTGACAGAGCCATCAGAATTCCTGCCACATACTGGAATACAAACCCACTGATGTATTTTGAGTGGGTGCACAACTTAGGCTTTATATGCCAACTTGCTCACTAGGGATAATCTCCTCGTTAAAATCTTCCTTACATTTTGAAGAAGTTAAAAGGGGTAATAAACCTTGAATAACATGTATATTTGGACAAACAATTCATAAAAAACGAGAAGAAAATATTTTGTACACATCTGCAAAAGTTAGAACGAACCTGAGAAGCAATAGTAGCCCATGCTGCCCCTGCGATACCATAGCCTAGGAATGAGCAAAGTGCGATATCTCCGACCAGGTTGCACATACTTCCGATTACCAGCACCTTCAGCGGGGTTTTTGAATCCATCATTCCAAGGCTGGCACTCTGAGCCACCAAACTAACAAGCACTGCAGGCCATGCCAGAGCTCGAATCTGCATAATTAAATGCTCACAATAAGATTTAAATGTTCACGATGAGAGAACTTCAAGTGGACTAGAAACGTGTATGTTAACCCACAACTATTTGGCTCTACCTGGCATACCTGCCCCTAGCGAAGTTCATAAATTCTCAAGTGTGACTTGTTTATTACCTGAACATACACTTTTGCTGCTGGTATCAAATCGTAATTCTGAGCCCCAACAAAAGCTGGACAATGTTCCAAATACTCAGTCACTAATGGGACAAAGATGGCCTTCCAAACCAACTTTTATTGTTCCACCTCATAATGCTGCAAATACGAATTCAAAGATCACCACAATGGACCAAAAAGTGATGACATGCGAGTGATAAGAAGCTACTCACCTTGTAGTAATTGCGTGACAAAAACTTCTGTAGCAACAAGCAAGCCCATTCCGAAGGCCAAGGCTAAAAACAGCATCCTTGATAGATGGTGCTTTGCCTCCTCTTTGTTCTACAAGAAATCCAAAAGTCAGGGATTTAATGTATTGTATCGTCACACAGTATAGCTAAGAAATGAGCAAACTTTTAAGTTATCTCAATCTAGAGAAGAACAGCACGAGTGAACTGAAAGGTTCGGGAAAATGTTACTTTCTGAGCTAGAGACGTGGCGATCAAATTGGAGGTCGCCACCGAGAGGAACATGAATATGTAACATACTTGATCACAAAGAACTGTACCTGGACCTGCAAACAAACCCCAAGAGCCCATGTAACCAAACTTTCACTAGAGGACTTGAATACCACAACACCAATCTGCGAGCATAACGATCCTCTCAAACAGCTCTACTTTGAAAGCTTCAATTTAAACTGTGCACGCAAACATTTACAAGAATGTTGTGTTCTCTCCTGCGGGAAGTAACTTGGTAAGCTTTCATTTAGAACTGGAGGTAATGTTACGTAATGCCATTAATTATACTGCAAAGAACTTTCAAACGCATGTCTCCAGACAAGAGCAGGAAATTCGGTCAATGCTCGACAAGCAGAAGAATATTTCCATCCTTATACTTACCAAGAGCAGCAAGCTCCAAAGAACTACTGTTACCAATTACGGACGTGTCGATAATTCCCATAATCGGGCCTGATAGCCAAATACCGAGAGCAGGCCCAGCAAATACAATAATTTCTTTCAGCTGCTCCATTAGCGATTTTTCTTCGGGGTCTTGAACTGCAACGTTATCAGACTCCTTTTCATGAACAGGAGCTAACAATTTATCTCCTTCCACAGTTTTCAAAGCGTCTGCTACTTCTTTGACCATAAGAGCTGATGCAACTGCTCCAGGTTCTAGCAAGTGCTCCTCTTCTTCAGGTATCACAACCTCCGGCTGCTTGACGTCTACCGCAGCATTTATAGACCCTTCTTCCAGAACAGAAGGTTCGGGAGGGGCGATATACTCTTTTTCTTCTACATGAGTCATAAATCCTACCACTTCCTCTTCATCGTCCGACGATTCTATCGTCTCACTGAAATCTCTGATCATAACAGGGGCTGCTACAGGAGAGGCAGGCTCCAGCATGTGGAAATACATTTGACCTGGTTGATCCTCCTCCTCTTTTTCCAAGGCTTCTGCAACCTTAGCGGCAGCGGCCATGAGTACCTCTGGCTCCATAGAGCAAAGTTGGTCATTTTTTGTATCTTCCTCAGTCCATATCCCTTCAAGTGCCGTTGAGACAGAACTAACAATGGTCCCAGCTTCAAGAGTAGACGTCTCGTGCTTCTTTGGTTGTGATTCTCCTCCTTGCACCGCCTTGAGAGACTGATTTTCAGCTTCTTCAAGACATTTTACGACTTCAATTGGAACGTCACTAAAAACATTGGTATAATTGGACTCAGAGCTGCAGGCAATACGACTCTCTCGTAGCGAGCTTGTCAAATTCCTACCCTGAGGCCTTCTCCTAAGATTTGCTTGCGCAAGCCTAGGATTATTACTGACGCTAACTCTCCCAGTAGAAAAATCGTCATGATATTGGCAGAGCCGTAAGAATCCGTATAACGGCTTTGAAGAAGAATCTTTTCGTAAAAATCGATGTTGGACTTGACTACCTACCCCTGCAAGCCCCACTGCTTGAGGATTCTTCCTTCCTGCTCCTAACATCTTGAACCCTCGGAAGAGAAATACCTGAAATGAAAAATTGCGCTAAATTATTTCATGAAATAACTATAAAAGGCAATCATCGATGTGACTGTAGAACGAAATGAGCTACAACATTGTAACTATTCTCAACAAATGCAGCACCAAAATCATTCTTGTAACATAAATTCTTTACATTCACGTAAATTTAGTCCCTAAATGTATCCTCAAACCCACCCTAAATCAGCTCGATTTTTTTCAAAAATTGCTCCGAAGACACCAGTGCTCTTACAAACACTCGAAGTAACAGAAGCTCAATGCTCGCTGCTGAGAGTTCGATCCACTTTCGTACACCTTTAAACTTCAATGAGCATTTCCTGTCAATAAAAGGCAACGATCATCAATGAGTTCCACAGAATCATGTACTGGAGTTTCTTATGGTACTGGATGCCGGGCAGCAGTTGGATTCATCTACAATTCATGCGAAGGATGGGCTGTTAAGTTTAGGGTTCGTAGACGGTAGGAAGGAAGGCAATTACATCAGTGAACCTTGTTGCGACGGCCGAGAATAAATCCAAACGTCTCTGACATTACTTAGGCCCTCCACCATGTACCACACAGTCGAACGAGCGAGTGGCGGACAGCAATAGAGTTCTGTATTACAAGAACTCCATCAAATTTCTTTACTATCTCTACGTAAGTTCGTGCATACAGAATTGTGTAAAAGTACGAACTCTTGGTGTAAAACTACTGCCCTTTCGTCTTCCGACCGTGGAAAATGAAAAATGCACGTGCCTCGTAACGACTGTCGAATCACTAGCACACGCTCTCAGAAAACATTCCAGGGAGACAACAATTAACACACCTAATTTTTGTTTTATTTTCATTTTTTGACGTACGTAGTACTCTATCAGAGAAAACTAGCTCCAAAGGGACACCAAATAGCCATCAAATTGCTACCAAAATTGCTATTAAGTAAACGAACACGCCAACCCCAAGAAAAACCTCGCCTAAACAAAAACAAAACAAAAATTGGAGCTCAACCCAACATGAGAGTGCCTCCTCTCAAAGTAAATGCAGTCAATGAACTCCACAGAATCAGCAAAAAAACACCATCCGGCAGCTTCCTCCAAACCAAACTCTTACCTGATCATCAAATTCTCTTACCGAGTGTTCACAAATAGCCCATCCCTCGAGCTCTTTCTCTATCTCTCTCTCTCTCTCGCTCTCCGCGTCAAAGTTTGCACCCAGTAGCAGAAACACCACTAAAATCTAATACGCCTGGTCACCAAAACTACTAACCAGAGTTCGTCATCCACACTCTTCCACTCCCACCACCACAGGATAGCCCGGCCCCATCAAACCCGAACCCAGGAGAGTATACATGTGACCACCACGATGCATCAACATCACAACTACGCAGCCAGCTTTTAAACATCTGGCATATGATCTCGACCACTTGTGAGATACTGTGCTGTCGAACGCAGTTGACTGATTCTCCTTTTTTTCTTTCTTGTGTTCGTCTTTTTCGCCAACCCTGCCACACTCTTTCCGACGCCCCTCAGCAATGCGTTGCGACGCACCCACTGGCCGTCTTGATACGCGCCACGCACTTTTCTTCCCAATTGTTGGCTGAATTCTCGAGCTGTCTGTCGAATTCATGAGGCCATTCTTCTTCTTCTTGTTCGTCTTCTTCGCTCTTCGACGACAACAAAAAGGGATTTGGCCACTGCCGCCGTGCCACTTGGACTTGCCACTGCGTTGCCCAAGTGGCCGCCGCCGGTTGGCTGCGACCCCCCCTCATGGTTGCCATTTCATCTTGCTTTGTGGCTCACCACCATCGCTCGACGCGTGTCCTTATCGATATTTCTGGATCATGAAGTTAGTTGTGTCGTTACTTTAAAGTATTCGACTACTCAGCTCTTCGAGTTAAATGGATGCACATACTATATATATGTTTAAATATAGATGAATAATTAGTTTTATTTTTCAAACTCGAGTTTGATTCAGAAATTGTTATATAAATGAATTTCTTTCTATTAAAATTAGCAGACGTTTTAAAGTTAATCAGCAAGAACAGAAGAAAATAAATAAAAATATCTCTGGAAGTAACCTTGATTAATATATCATAAGTTGTGTATAGATTCTATTTTATGCAATATAATTAGAATCATAACCATGTAAGTGTCAACAAAGACCTTTGTTATTGAATACATAAATAGCAAACATCTTTATAATTTTTATTTTCATTTTTCTTTATTACAGTTAAAGTTGTTTACAACTATGTTTTTTTATCCTTCAAAAAGACAAATATCCATTCATCACCAACTTTCATTCAAAAAATGTATTAGATCAATATATAAGTGTTAATATAAGCTTTCATTTTAGATGCTTGTTTAATTGCTTCCTTATTCATTTATATCAAACCAAAAATAAAATCACAAGTATTACAGAGTTGTATCAATAATGCATATTTTTACAATTTCTTAAATAGTGTCATGGTATTGCAATTGTTGTGTTTTTTTAATAGTCTTTTTAGTTAGATTTTTTATAGATATTATTAATATTTGAGATTTGCATATAAGAATTAATAATAGACCATGCATCTACTCCATTACATATTGTTCATAATGTGAATTATCAATTGGTAGGTGGAAATAATAGTTGCAAAAAATTATAATAAGCTTGTGACTGCAAAGCACATTACCACATGGAAGAAGATGAGGAGCAACAAGTAGAAGAATAATGTTTTTTTTTTAAAGGTTTCAAATTCTTGTATTAAATCTTAAACATTAACTCTGTCACAATCTCTACAATATACATTACATTATTGTTGATGATTTTTTTGTGCAAACTCTTTTTAATTTTCTACATTTAGAAGACAAACATTTAACATTTTGAAATAAAAAATAAAAAAAAGTGTAATGAGTGTAATAGTAAGAAATGGTTTTTTCAAAGAGTTAAATAATTATTGTCATAAATACAAAATAAAATTAGTTTTATTACCATATATTATTTTGAGCAAATAAAGACTAATCAACAATTTTATTAGCAACAATAAATATTTTATTCACTAGATCTATTTGTATTTGTATTTTTTCTTTTTGTTTTCAATAGCAAAATAAAAAAAAATGTTAGCAAATATTCATAAAGATATTTATGTTTTTTTATTCAATAATTATTCCTTATGATATATATATGATCCCTTAGTATATTCTATTTTATGTCTACATAAAAAATATGACCAAAATTTAACTATGTGCTATAAAAGAATTAAAATTATAGAGGATATTGACACTAACAACTAAGAAAAATAAAAGAATAGATAGAGATTCCTAACCTAATAAAACAATATAGACATGTGCAATGGATCACACATTGTATTTCTTACTTTTTTGTGAACTTGACGATGGCTATATTAATTATTGTGGAATATTGTGGGATATTTTGGAAATACAGATTGTTGCATGATTACTTCTTTATAGACATATGCCAAGATAATAAATCTAAAAATATATCTTGTTATAAACTTTTTATTTCAAATTTTTTTCCAATTTTGAGACTCACGCCAACATCTGTACTGTAGTAACAAATTGCAGAGTATACAAGTCGTGCTAACATCTTAAGTTAGTTAATTTATACATAAAAGACCACAGATGTTAAAATTGACAATTTTAAGAATTTTAAGACAATGCTTCAAAATTTAGAAATAAAAATCTATTTTACTACAAAAAATAATGAAAATAATATAAAAGTAGAATAAACTATAAACAAATGATAGATAATTCATTATACTTCTATTTTTAAAGAAATATTTAATTGCCATGTAAATTTTGAGCTTTTTTTTATAATGAATATTGTGAAATACCTTTACAAGTATATCTATAATGAGCATAAATACATGATTTTTTCTTTATAAAATCTCTCACAAGAAAAAAAATAGTACAATTTTGAGAAATAATATCAGACAATATTTATGCGTTGTGGTAAAGATTATATTGTTGAATAAATGTATAATTTTAATTTTTTCTGAGAAAATTATCATCTTTGTACTTACTTTTAATCTATGTTTAATGTTCTATTATCTTTAAAGGTCTTTAAAATTATTATAATGTATATTACTCCTCAATTTATATTCCAATTCTTGCTTGTAGATACTTAGAAGATGACATAAAGGAGCTTTGTGCAATGTAATGTATTATTAATAAAGAAATACCAAGTGTATTAAGATTGTGTTCTGCAAAAACTTTAGTTTTTAGAAATCTATTAGATATTCAATGTTTACATTATGGAAATGCTAATATCATAATTTAATATTTTTTTAAAAAATCGGGATTTACGTAGAATTTGTTTTACATTTAATTATTAATTTTTCATTACCATAGAATTGTTACTAAAACTTTATTCGACACTTAATTCAAATTTTACAAAAATAAAAATAAATTGAATGCTTTTCTAAGTCTATCTTAATTAAATAATAATATTTTTAATGAATTGATATAACAATAATAACAACAAGAGAAGAATTCTGCTTATTGATGGACTTGGCATTACATGAAAAATATTTTTGAACAAGTTTTTTTAGAAAAATTTAGTGAAAAGAGAATTTTTTTTGCAGCAACTTTATTACTTCCAACTAGAATTTATCTCATTCTACTTTTAAGTATATAGTTTTTAAGTACGGATGTACAACTAAAAGCAGCATCATGAGTACATAATGTAGGAATACAAAACTCATCAGCAGTGTAATGGTTGCTCATTTCACCTTTGCCACCATGTCCTCTCAGTTTTAGTCATCTATTTTGTTTATAAATGTTGATTTGGTGAAACTTTGACATTGGAAGGTGGTGTACATATATATATATATATATATATGCGAGAATCTTCACCATGAGTGAGTTCAGAGATTTAATTTTTTTTTTGTCGACCTCAACTTATGAAGACTACAGTTTGCCATTACTCTCATATTTAAAAAAACATTTTACGTCAGAATTCATGACTTTAATTTTAGTTTGAGTTGAATTTTACTTTTAGTTGACTTGACTAATAAGCATACGAAGCATCAACTTGGCTGTTAAAATCAGATCTATTAAAGCTTTTGTGTTTCAAGCACGGTTCAATGCAATTTAAAGAATCAAATTTCAAGAAATTAATTTTTTCATGAAAGGTCGTAAAAATTAAATTTACGTAGTAGTATAAAATCACCAACTTGTGAGAAATTAATCTCGTAATTTGGATTGTTTTGTTAGCCAAGTAAAGGAAGCACCTGGGATTGAAACAAACTGGACCTGGCATGCATGTGAGAACATTGGTTTGATATCCACGATCCCGACCTGAAAATTACCACCGGTCGACGCGGGTAAAACGAGGGCCGGTTCTCAATCGAGACGCGGTGGTATCTTGTTGTTCCCAAACTGCAGTCACGTCTGAGCGAATGCGCGGAGAGAAGCTTAAGCCCTAATTTCCGTCTTCAGCGCTTCCGGAGCTCCGAGGTTGGCTCGGTTTCATGGTGTGCTGGGATCGTATAGGTGTGTAGTTGTTTGGCGGTCCGGAGGTTTGAATGATTGGCAGCAACGACTGTCTTCCTGAGGTGGATTTTTCCGGAGACATTTCATGATTTTCAGGTGAGTTGTAGCTTTTGCGATGCTTTTGGTTGCGATGCTTTTGGTTGTAGAGAGGGTAGAACGCGTATGGTTTCGTTTCGGGTATTCAGCTGGATGTTGCATGGTTGTTTGCACGTAGAATAATTCGGAATCGAGAGGCGGACGTTTTAAATGGCGGGCGCGGTAGAGGCTGAGAATGATACGGCGAAGAGAAAAAATCCTGAGCCGGTGACTAATGGCGCAGCTCAAGCAACGGACGAAGAAGCCCCTGAAGCGAAGCGACGTAGTGTTATTAGGTCGTGTATTCACGAGGTTGCCCTTCCGCCAGGTCAGTACATGTGGACACCGGTTGTGTTTCGCTCTGAGTTTTCTTTGATTGTTTGGTTTTTGATTATTTTTTCTGTGATCTCCACACTAGTTTTAGCCATGATGGCGAAATTAACTCCTAGCAGCTTTGTGCTGGCATACTTCTACATTTTGAAAGGATTTAAGCTTTCATGAGAATCTTTAAACCTTGCTGGACGGTGAGGTCTTTTGACATGAGTACTGTTTTCCTGTTACGGTCAGTGGCGATTCCGCTATCTGAGCTCTTCCTGTTACCCCGTCTTCAAGGTTCCTTACTTAGAACATATATGTTAAAACCTTGGGTTTAAGGTATGACAGTTTGTTCTCATTTTACTTCAGTGCTCTGCTTGTTTCACAACTATCACTGTTTAACTTGTCAAGACAATCCTTCTTGCTTACTACAGTATTATTTTCCCTTGTGTAGCTTGGTAATTGAAAAGAGTCACAAACTCAGTATCAATTGTCTCTTCCCAGCTCATTCCTGACATTTGATGTTTAAACCTGGCCTTAGCTCCTGTTTTCAGATCATGCTGTTGCCTAGTAACACAAATTTTACATTTTCCACCCAGGGTGCTTTGTGTTTTCTTCGGTTAAAGAGCTTAATAATTCCCTGGTGCTTTGCATGTTCTTGAATTTATTCCTCTATCAATATTTCAATGTAAACTTATTCACATATCGACTGTCGTTCTGTTCTTCTTTTTCCGTCCTGCAAGCAATTTGTGTCAAGGGTACAGTTTAAGTCCGAGGTTTCTTAGCGGCAATGTAGGTTCGTTGTTCAGTTCTCGCGTTACAGTGCGTGGTCAGAAACATCGGCACCCCCCCCCCCCTTTTTTTTTTCTTTTTTCCGAGTTGTGTGTTGGTAATTCTACATTTACTTGTTTGAAATGGTCCATATGTGCAGCATTCTTAGGTACAGAGGGTGCTAGTTTGGAACAGATTTGTTTCTCTATTGACTTCTTACTGTATCATGCCTTAGGGTTTACGCCTTCTAAAGATGAGAGCATCCATGGCACAATCGACAATCCTGTCTACACAGGTCCAAGAGCGAAGAGCTATCCTTTTACACTCGACCCTTTTCAGGAGATTTCAGTTGCTTGTTTGGAGCGAGATGAATCAGTATTGGTGTCAGCTCATACCTCTGCAGGAAAAACAGCTGTTGCTGAGTATGCGATTGCAATGGCTTTTCGTGATAAGCAAAGAGTTATTTACACTTCTCCACTGAAAGCTCTGAGCAACCAGAAATTCAGGGAGTTGAGCGAGGAATTTACTGATGTAGGCCTAATGACAGGAGATGTAACAATCTCGCCAAATGCTTCCTGCATCGTTATGACAACAGAAATCCTCCGAGGAATGCTCTACAAAGGTTCAGAAGTTTTGAGGGAGGTTGCATGGGTTATTTTTGATGAGATTCATTACATGCGTGATCGAGAGCGAGGAGTCGTGTGGGAAGAGAGCATTATTTTTCTTCCTCCCGCTATTAAAATGGTTTTCCTCTCCGCCACAATGTCTAATGCCACAGAATTCGCGGAATGGATATGTTACTTGCACAAACAGCCATGTCATGTAGTATATACAGATTTTCGTCCTACGCCCTTGCAGCATTATGCTTTTCCTATGGGCGGTTCAGGTCTCTATCTTGTTGTGGATGAGAAAGGGGATTTTAAAGAAGAAAATTTTAATAAACTAAAGGCGACCTTTGAGAGGAAAGAAGTTGGTGGAAATGAAATAGATCCTCCCAGCACTCGTGGTGGCCGTGGAGGGCGTGGAGCACGAGGGCGTGGGGTTGGTGGAAGAGGTGGCAGAGGAGGAGACAAAGGATCTGGCTCAAGTCAAGACATCGGCAAAATTGTTAAGGTATCACAACTCGTCTGAGTCTGTGAAGGTATTCCAGTAAATTTTCTTTGAGCTGTTTGTTTTTCACAAACTTGTAAATCTGTTCAAATGGTTGAGGAACGCACACGAGGTTTGTGCTACAAGCGTATTCCTCAGTTTCAATGATTGCTCATTGGCACTACGATGAGTTGGAAGGAAACGCTAAACTTGCGTTGTTGGTGCTGTCTGAATTGGTTGGAGTTGCTCTCAAGGTTGGAATTACTTATCTGACCTACAATAGTTCTGGCAGGCAAGGTGCATACTATGTTGTCGCGCCCCTCTATTGTCAATGTAAAGTTTTAGTAGAAGGGATCTGGTTTTCAGCCGCTTATTATCTTTTCTGTAATAATAAATTACAAATATCCTACTTCGTTCGTTGGCTTCGCTTTTCAGATGATAATGGAGAGGAAATTTCAGCCAGTGATTGTCTTCAGTTTCAGTCGGCGAGAATGTGAACAATATGCAACCGCCATGTCAAAGCTGGATTTTAATAATGATGAAGAGAAAGAGGCCGTCGAAGACATCTTTAAGAAAGCTATTGAGGTGCTTAGTGAGGAAGATCGAAGTCTTCCGGCAATCGATCTTCTTTTGCCACTGTTGAAACGAGGCATTGGTGTTCATCATTCTGGTCTTCTTCCTATTCTCAAGGAGGTTGTTGAACTTATGTTTCAGGAGGGCCTCTGCAAGGCATTGTTTGCTACAGAAACTGTAAGTGCTTCACTTTGTATTCGTATACTTCATAATGTTGCTGATATTCGTGTACATTACGCTTATGTTAGTTTGGAATTGTAAAATCTCTTGACTATTGTGCTCACTGTTATTTTTTGAATCATGAATTCCTTGGTGTCAGTCATGGAGACAACATGATTGTGCATCATTCTATAATTGAACTCTACTATGTTCATCATATATGGCCCACTGCTCTAGCCTTTGTTGCAATACTTTCTACACCTGGGTGATGGTAGCCTGTATACTTGTACGCTTGTCACTGTTCAGGTTAGCTTTCATGCTGATGCTTTCTAATGTTGACCTACCTCAATGTATCAGTTTGCTATGGGATTAAATATGCCAGCTAAGACAGTTGTGTTCACGAATGTTCGCAAATGGGATGGGCAAAGCCATCGATGGATGTCATCGGGAGAATACATTCAGGTCCTTTCGATTCTGTGTAACTTACGATGATATGTACTATGGGTCGTTGGTGATATATAAGATACAGTTCTACGTGGAGGTTAAAACCCTGGGTAGGAAAAGATTTGTTTTTTCTCGTATGTTACTTCTGCGAAAACTTTTGGTTTCGTTTCACTCTTCATGTGGAAATATTGTGTGCTTTACTAAATTTTTTTCATGTTCTATGTTTGGTTCCAGTTGGATGTTTGTGTGCGTATTCATCGTATGCTGATTGTGTTGGAACAGATGAGTGGTCGAGCAGGACGACGAGGCAAGGATTTGCGTGGAATTTGTATAATCATGATAGACAGTCAGGTATGACTTGTCATTGTTAGCTTCTTGCATGTCATGGATCCAGTTATTTTGTCACAGTAGGTTGGAGAGCTTTCCTAAAACGACCTCTGCGGTTTTGGTGGTTTTGTTCCTGATTTGTCCGTAGTATATCTTTCACTGGCATCTTGGAATTATTATCTAGAACTTTCTACTGGGACCTAAAGTTTGTGGTTAATTGTGCAGATGGAAATGAAAACATGTCAAGAGATGATACAAGGGACTGCAGCTCCTTTAGTTAGCACATTCCGTCTCAGTTACTACTCACTTCTTAATCTCATGAGTCGGGCTGAAGGACAGTTTAATTCTGAGCATGTGATTCGTCATTCATTTCACCAGTTCCAGCATGACAAGGTAATCCTTGATTTTGATTTAGTTGTATGTTAGGCCTTTCTGTTGGCTGTAGTTTTTCCTTCGTGCAGCAGTGTGTTAACTGTTACGATTGAAATCTCTGGTCATGGCGTACGTGATGCTTCAAAATGATGTACTTACCTGTAATGTTTGGTTTGTAGGCATTGCCCAAGGTTGAAGAGAACATAAAAACTCTGGAAGCTGAAGTCGCGAAAATCGATTCTGCGGGAGAGGTATGTCAAATAAGGAAGTGCGAATGTGTACAGTTTTCCATGTGTGGAATATGTTAGTCCAGCAGTCTTGCTTTCTATCTGTCTATCTGGTTTGGGCAAAATTCTGTCCTGGTGCTCTATCGTAGGGAATACTTTCTGTGATAAAAGATTGCCTTAATGAAGTTGCAAGGAGTCCATGAAGCCTTCAAGGTACATGGATCAAGAATTTGACATGTTATGTAGAGTGAGGTTGTTTGATCTGGTTATTATGACTGCAGTCATCGATGGCAGAGTACCATTCTTTAAGATTAAAACTTGCTCAACTGGAAAAGAAAATGATGGCAGAGGTTCTGCGCCCTGAGCGTGTTCTGCTGTTCATGAAACCTGGACGATTGGTACTACTTCATCTCCTTTTTTAGATCCATTCTTCTCTCTTTAAAATTTAAAAATAAAATTTATTTATTTATTTATTTTATTCACATGTTTTTGCCCATGCATTCTGTACATCTCAATAAACACTCTAGATGATTCAAGTTACTGAATCTAAAGTTTTTAGTTTTGGTCGTTAATCAAGCATTGTGAGTTATGTACTGTTTTGGTTGTGCATACATTTTAGCGGTATGAACCTATGTGTTTTTGACTTACTTTGCTTGCAAACATTTTGATAGCGCTTGGTCAGGCTTCGAAGCGAAATTTAATCCTGCATGTTTTGTGTGTAGGTTAAAATTAGGGATGGAAGTGATGAGTGGGGTTGGGGAGTGGTCGTACATGTAGTGAAAAAACCTACATCCAATCAAGGAACAATTTCTTCTGCGTTGGCAACCGATCCAGCTAGTTCCTATATAGTAGATATTCTCCTGCACTGCGCGTCAGGAGTAATTCAAGAAGGGAAACGGCCCAGACCGAGACCATGTCCTCCAGGAGAAAAAGGGGAAATGCATGTGGTAAGAGCTTCTAGTTGTGTCACAAGATAACTTTCTCAGGCTCTTGCGAGTTACGGCTTGCTGCTTTCACTAGCATTGATGTTGGTATGAGAGTTTTTGTTGCTTCCTGCTACAATAATAACTTATTTGAAGTCGTCATTGATGTTGAATATGTTGTGTGTGCATACAATATAATTTTAATAATGAAGTAAAATCTTTTTTTGGGTGTGTGCTTTAGTGTCTTCTTATTTGTTTTAGTTTGCTTGCCTCAGTGAAACCTATAAGTCGTCTATTTAGAGTTTGTTATTCCACGGATGGCAATTAATGCCAATCTAAATGTTCGCACGGGTGGTTATGAAGGTCCCAGTACGCATGCCGCTGATATGTGCAATAAGTACTCTAAGAGTTGCAGCTCCACGGGATCTAAGGCCTCCAGAGGCTCGACAAAGTGTTCTAATGGCTGTTCAGGAACTCGAACGTCGTTTTCCTGATGGTTTTCCCAAGCTTGATCCTGTTGAGGTGAGATTTCGTCCCGAAAAAGGGGTTGACATAGTGTGAGTCGTTTTTTAGGATGGAATAAATGCTTATAATTTTAGCATTTTTGTAATTTAACTAACCCTTAAGTTTTTTATCTGTCCACCCGTAGTTACATCTGGATGGACTTCGGAAATTTATTTGGTTCAAAACCTCCTCGTTTGCCTTGCTCCAAGGGATCCTTATCACTTATCTGTAATATGTGGTTCTGACTTATAGGATATGGGCATTGATGATGAAGACTTTCTGAAGATTGTTAAGGAAATTGAGGTGGAAGAAAAGAAGCTGGTCTCTCACCCTCTTTTCCAGGTGTGTTATCTACTGAGCTTATGGAAATGCTTAAAGAAGACATTTTTATATGTTGACCACTTGTATTGTTGCCTTAAGTCAAAAACTGGTCGTTATCTACAAAACATTCATTACAAATTCACATATGTATGGATTGAAAACCATAGGAATTATTGTGTACAAGTTTTATTGGTTTCTTGCGATGATCACAAATGGGATGTTCCGTGTTTGCAGATGTGGTAGTGATGTAGTTGGGAGGACGAATAATGTAATTTCGTTTTTATTTCGGTGTTTCTGTTATGGCTATCTGTTGGTAACGTTGAGGTTTTTGAATCCTGTAGTCAGAGAAAGAGGCAGATTGTTTTGCTTCTTTTCAAAGGAAGGCGGAACTTATGGTCGAGATTGACGCGTTGAAACTTAGGATGCGAGAATCCCAGGTTTGCACACAGAAAATATTTACTCTTGTAAATGGCAAGCAGTTTGTCCTGTTGGAGAAGTTGTTTCACGTAGTTTGTACAGTTCTTTTGGTTCTAATAGCCTCAAAGCACTGTATTGTGTTGAGAACAATGAATGTATTATGAAGTTATCTTACACATAGATTCCTACTTTCACAGCTGCAAAAATTTAGGGAAGAATTGAAGAATAGGTCAAGGGTATTGAAACGACTTGGCCATATAAATGGTGATGGCGTGGTGCAAACAAAGGGTCGTGCAGCCTGTCTTATAGATACTGCCGATGAGCTACTTGTAACCGAGCTTATGTTCAATGGTAACATCTTTTCGCCTTGCACCTTTTGATTGATTATTTTGTTTCTCTAGTGTTCATTTCCTAAAAACGTTGCATTTTTTGGAGCAGGTTTGTTTAATGACATAGATCATCATCAAGTTGTTGCTATAGCAAGCTGTTTTCTTCCAGTTGAGAAATCGAATGAACAAGTACGATTGACGAATGAGCTTGCACATCCGCTAGAAAAGCTTAAGGAAACAGCTAAACAACTTGCTGAGGTATGTGTATTTTGCTAATGTGCTTTTGATAGGCTTTTTGAAGCTTTTGGTATCTGATTTCGCTACTCTTATTAGTGTCTGTCAATCGTGCAAATGTAATACGACGATTTAATTCTGTTTGGTGATTTGTCAGATTCAAAAAGAGTGCAAGCTGGAGATTGATGTTGAAGAATATGCGGAATCATTCAAGCCATATTTGATGGATGTCATCTATAGCTGGTCAAAGGTTTGCAATCCTATTTGTGACCATATTCCAGCATTTCGACTCTAGAACAAGAATTTTCATGTCTCATCCATCAGTTTGCACGTTGTCATTAATTTCTTGGTACTTGATCTGTTTGTTAAGCCGAATTTGGACTGCAGGTAATGCATTTTTCAATCGACTACGGTGTAGCTTTTGTTTGTAGGTTGGTTTCTAACTTGTATTTATTGTGACATTGAAGGGTTCCTCGTTCTCTGAAATTTGTGAGATGACCGACATTTTTGAAGGTAGCATCATACGTGCTGCTCGCAGGCTTGACGAGTTCCTGAACCAGGTATGTCTCTGAAAACTGCTGCTATGCAGTTCCAACAGTCGAACTGTACTGTTTGGAACGTCGTTTTAGTTCTTGTACTTAAGACTGGTTTCAAGTTTGAGTCCCCGTCTTCCACCCTCTTCTAATTTGTGGCTAAACATGGTTCCTAAATTTTAATTATGGCTTGAATCTTTCAGCTACGCAGTGCTGCCCAAGCAATTGGAAATCCAGACTTAGAAAATAAATTTGCGCTTGGAAGTGAAAGTATACGACGCGGTATTGTCTTCGCCAACTCACTCTACATTTAAAGCCATTGCCCTGATTTTTTCGAAGTAACTCTGCTTCAGGGAGTCAATGGGAAAGTGTACATTATAGATGAGTTTGTTGGGTGCTTCTCCATTTTCGCACCTTGTATATCAGGTCACATCACTTCTCATAGAAGACGCAGAATAGTCAATTTTGGATACCCACATGGTTTACTGCCCCTTTCCTGCACTCTGAACCGCATTCTCAGTCTGAAATTCTATGTGGAAACGACGTAGGTCTTTCTCCTTTTAACAGCACCTTTGAACTCAGCTGTACACTACCGAAAATGATTATCTCGTCTCCACTGCCTGTTTTTATTCTTGATATGAAATTAACAGAAGGCAGGGCTGTAAAACTCAGCTCCTCCCTGCACAAAGACGTCCCATTCTTTTGCATCGTTTTGTCTCTCTGTGCTAATGTGGTAGGTTTCAGATGTTCACACTTACCTGTCTTCACGTAGATTTGCCTTCACCGCCTCACGTGTCTTCGCTGCAGTACACATGTGAAATGCTTTGTCCAGGAACTTAAGTAGGATAAGATTCGTTTATTAGGTAGCAGAGGCCATCGAGGAAGTAGTTGTGAGGTTGTGGAAGTTGTCTTTTCTTTCAGAAGCTGACGCTTCCGTGGCCAGCACGGATTTAGTCATTTTGAGATCACGAACCCAAATCGTATGCATGTTCGGTGGTAACGATTTTTCACATCGTCTGGGGATGTATCTCACGTACAGAAGCATATCAGAATTCGCCGACTCCCAAGCCGTCGCTGGCCGAATTTGTCCGCAGTGTCGATGAAGCCGTTAGTGACAGATTACAAGTGCTCGTCTTCAACACAGAAATTATCAAATTTTGAAAAAATATGTGATTTTAACGCTAGAGCTGCTGGAATTCTTGAGCAATAATCCATTTCTACTGCATACGTAGGATCGAAAGCATCGGAACCATCGCTCTCGACCGACAGAAGACTCTTTACTACCCTTTTCCAACATTTATGGTAACTGTGTACGCCTCATGTATATAGTCTCTTATTCGGTTCAATAATTTCAATTGACTTTAATGAGCGGCCTACACGGAACTCCGACATGTACGTTTTGCATCTGGTGCAACATCTGAAACCTATCTAGTGGTACATTAGAGATTGGGCGGATCAAAACATGCTGAAGTAGATGAGGGAGTCTTCAGAACTTACTGAACAATGTTTAGCTGACGGATGGATTCTCCAAGTTTTCCACGGTTAGAAAATTCTGATGTCAAAATAAGAAAGAGCAATCACTAGCAAGCATGCTTTTGTGCAACATACTGTACGTCTAAGAGCACCAAAACCATGGGTTGCCTTTGGTGCTACACAATATCAAACTATCCAATTGAAGCTATCCTCTGCATATCTTCACGGCAACTGCTTAAATCTATGATCACAAAGGAGCCGAAATACTGATCACAACTTGGGGCCAATACCCTTTAGCGTTACATGGTGTAAAATATCACACGCCAATTTGCAAATTGTGGTAAACTTGCAGGTGTCTTTCTCACATTGCAAACTTGATAAAACGAGCTCTCGTTGCTTTAGATGGCTAAAGTGATTCTGAAATGTTGGGAATTGCTACAGGTTCAGGCGGGTGAAAGGTCCAGTAATCGAAGTCAGGTGGTTTCTGAGTTTCTAAGTTTGAGGAGGTTTCTGAGTTCAGAGTGATTGGTATGGTACAGCGTTTCATATCCGAAACTTATCTAAAATCTAGTCTGGAGCTTTCAACATGATCTCGACCAGGTTTTGAATACCTTCACAAACTCTCGACGATTGTCAGCAACAAATGTGGTATTAAAGACATCGCTTCACTACGATAAGTGCTGATATAATGTAACTGTACCTGCCCATGCCATGGTCGATCCAAAGCCGCCGTCGTCGAAATAATTACCGCAGGAAACAGTCCTAAATGTCGCACACAGAGAAGCTTGAACACAAATCTCGGCCGATCAAAAGGGAAATAGAAAGGTTTAGAAGAGTATTTCGATCGATAAGGAATCTCAGGAGACATAGGAATGGAGAATTTCATTGGGTAGAACTAACTACTATCACAGAATGTCAGTTAGTAATGAGGTGTGAAATCAAATTTCACAATCTGTTGCAGCGCTAGGTTGTTCCCAAAGGAAGCATGTGAATTTAATACAGGTGGCGTGGATTGAACAATAAGGGTAAGGCTTTCATTCACAGCGGATGTATGGAATACGTACTTGAACTGCAATCAATTGAGTAGCTAGCGACTGAAGAAATAGTTTGAAGTGATGCAGAACACACTGCAAGAATCCGACCTTAGGAATCAGTCGAAGGCAGAGGTTTGGCAGCTAACTATTGCGACATTGTAACTGCATTGGCCTTGAGCATGACTCATCAGCCATCTATTCCACCAACTGCTGGGAACCGATGGACGAATAAGTTCTGGGACGACTTCACAGGATCAGGTTACACATTAGACACGAACTTTCGGCATCCTATGGGGAAGGGTAAGTGGAAATGGGATGCAGCGTCCAACAAAGAGATCCACTGGGATCCGGCATGTTCGTCGATAGTGCAAGACACGAGCCGCGGAAAATCAATTCTGCGTGTCAGCGTTTGGTCCGACTGGTTCCACAGAATTGATCGCTTGGCCACGAAGCAGCAATTTGGTTATGGTTATTACGAGTCGCGCTGCAGGTTCAAGGGAGCGTCGGGGATGCATAGCGCGTTTTGGCTGCTGCCGGAAGCGATGGTGTCCGACGCTGTACCGCCTGGAGAAATAGTCGGCGGGATTGAAGTGGACGTGGTGGAGCATCGGGCCAAAGACAGCGGAGGGAATGACATTTCTACGCAAGGGAGTACAGCGGTGCACTGGGGTGGATATGGCGCCAATCATCGCTCGAGTGCGTACAAATTGATGAATCTCCCTGTCGCCTCCTCAGCATGGGCGACTTTCGGAGTGTTGCATCAACCGGGGGGTTTGAAATGGTACTGGAATGGTAAAGAGGTGAATTCAGTCGCAATGTGGTCTCCAATGCCCAACTCACTATTCTTCTCAACAGAAGTGAACGAGAGCGGGGGATGGGCGGGGGATGATCTGTCAAGCTACGGTCCGATATCTAATCCAGAAGGCTACATTGAGATTGATTATTGCGGCTTCTGGCTTCAGTGTACAAGCCATTCATTAAGTTCCACAACCTCTTACGAAGATCCTACAATGTTAACGACTTTGAAGATCCATGCTACCACTACTGTACCAGTACATCAAGAGAAGCCATGTCCATCGCACACACCTACGCTCGACATCAACTTCAATCCACAAGATAGCATCGCTGCGAGAGAGAAAGATGTTCAGTCGTTCTCTAAGCTGCACAAAGTTGAAGAACAAGACGATGAGACAACAAACCTCGCGCGATTTTGCCACCTCAAGCTCCAGTCAGCCCACAACGAAATCGGCCCTGTCGAAGACGATCGCATAAAACTCGATGCCATGGCTGAACAGCATGATGAGAGCGTCAGAAAGACCGAGACTTAGCTACCTGACATCCTCCCGACATCCCTAATCAGTTGTTGTCGCTGTGAACGACAATGCCAGACGACTACACAAGCGGGGAGCATTCTACAAACCTTTTTCGATGGAAGAGCTTTGTGCTCCCTTGGCGCCATCGCCATAGCCATCGTCCGCAGCTCTTTCCACCTGCGACGGTTAGGAAACAAGCTCCAGGCCCTCTTCGACCCGCAGCTCAACTGCTCTACTCTATACTGTAAAATACACATAATACTCTGATAAGCATTATGCGTGGTATCGAATTACACCGTATTAGTTAGAATTAACTCGATATTTGCTGAAAATTCAGTATCTAGCATGAAGGTTTTACTTACTAAAATTGTATACAAGTTATAACTTGTTTTTTGGGAAAATATCATACATACCTCTCAAATATGTCGAAATATTAAGAATACCTCTATATCCTTGATAATAGCATACATGCCCCTGGAATTTTTGATAATAGTATGTGTACCCTCCATCTTGATAAGGTATTAGAAATCTGACAATTCCATTAATATGTTTTTCTTATGGGCTAAAAAAAAAAAAGGGGGTCCCGCATAGTGGGCACTGTCCGGCAGATTGGAGAGTGCCCCAGCTGCCCGACAGTGCACATCGTGCGGCTCTCTCCCCCCGCAGCATCCCGTCCACCGTGCCCCTGACCATGTGTCAGCACTGTCCTTTGACGAAACTACACTGTGTGCAACCTCATTAAGGTAGGATGGAACAGCTTCCGAAGGCTTAACTCACGAATTCGTGTCTTCTTTAACTGCCGCTGACATCTTGCTTTTGTGACAACTCTAGAATTTCGACAACTCTCCATCCAGCTGCGGACGAGAACCCCAGTGGTTGCTTGACTGGTTGCTAGAGCAGGGAGGCTATTTCATAGGGAACTTGCAACCCGCGCACACAGATTTTCAATGGTTTACTTTGGGAAATGCCTTGGAGTAATTCCTTCATTCTAGCATGTAAGAATACACTGATGCACATTGTGGATTGTGTGCTGAGCTTGGTCGTATCACAATGGTGGTTCATGGCCGGTTCTTAACCTCGAAATTGATGTTAAGAATCCTGAAGCCGCAAAATGGCTCACATGTGAAGACGACGAGGACGCCGCTTCCATCTCGTGTGTTGACATGAATCCTCGACGGAACCCGAACTTGAAACCGCAAGGAGAACTTCACATTGTATAGATTTGAGTTTAGATCGTTTAATTTAAGTGGATTATTTTCATTGTGTTCTATCACATTTGCTGGGACTCAAAATCATCACAGTCTCTTCCAGCAAGGTCCACAAAGACTCACAGTTTCACCACGTGATATGCGTTGTTAGGAAGGTTTTAGCAGATATCACCTGGGAATTTGTTGCTCTGCATTGTTGCTAAAAATTAGTTTTAGAATTCAGAAACCCCTCAACATCGAAGTACTAAAATGGACCTTTTTGACCAACGTTCTCAAACAATGGGTGGGAAACATGAGATCCATAACAAATGGATAATGATGCTTGTAATGAACTGTTAAATAACTAATCGTATGAAAAGGCTGGTCCATGCAAGCATTCAGCTCATAGAACGCAGAGAATTGAACGCAGGCAGAATCCGTGTATTCTCTTGGGTCAACTGTTTTTCTTTTCTCCACGTGAAGCAAGTGACTGTGAATTGAATCCTCACTGTGAACAATGTCTGGCCATCCTCTGGTGGTTTATGGTCATTGCGGACCAAACGAGACAAATCTTCATGTGAAGTGTGGTTATCGACATTCTCTGTTGCTGGATATAGAAGGAACATTCTTCGCGCATCATTGAATAAGCTACACCCTGGTTGTCTGTAATGAATTCCTTACGCAGGAA